GGCCAGTGAGAAACCCACATGGTGCAGCAGACCCCTCCTGTCTCACCCGCTGCTCCCCTCAGCAGTGCTTTCAGTCTGTCTGCCTGTTCTGCTCCCCACTCTGTCTCTGGTGAATCCTCTCACCCCCCGCATCTCTGGCTTGTACCCCAGCTCTTGCATACATAAATAAATCTTTTTTTTAAAAAAAAAAAAAAGAGGTCAGGCAACTTGTTCAGAGTCACACAGTTCCTGAGAAGCAGAGCTAGGATTCAAACCCAGGCCTCGTGGCTCCATAACCTGCACATCGAAAACAGCCTCTCATTTCACTTACCTTAAGGTTTGCAATGGACCCACAGAAGCCCTGCCCCAGCCGCTCGGCCTCCACACCCTCCTGGCCTCAGCCGCGCCCCTCCCTGCTCGCACCACCAGCCCAGCACACACAGCTGCCTGTCCTCCGCCTGGCCGCCTTTGCCAGCATGGGTCCCTTCCCCTTCCCTTCTCCACCAGAAAGCCTCTGCTCGTCCTTCAAGATGCCTGAGCAAGTGACCTCTGTTCCAGGTCATCCCCTCTTTGCACGTGGCTGGCGCCTCCCAGCTTCCTTATGGCTGCACCCACTCACCCTGACCCTAGCCCTAGCGTCTCTACAACGGACTGTGGACTCTGGAGGGTGAGGGTGGGGTCAGAGGCCTCCCCAGAACCCCGGTGCCCAGTGCGGGCTGGGCTGAGAGTGACTGTGAGGACCATTTCTCCCACCAACAAGGAACCTCACCTGCCTTTGTCCTTTCTGTCCTCAGCATGACTTCGGTCCCCAGCCCAGGCTGTGGCCTGCTGGGGTTGGTGTGTCCATTGTGACTGAGCAGAGGCAGAATCCGGGGACTGGTGGGAGCTCAGAGGCTTTCAGAAGTTGAAATGTTGGCTCCACAACTTGCACAGCTCCCGCAGAGGCGAGCACACGCACGCAACTGGGAAAACGTCCCAGGGAAACAATCAGACAGGTGCTGAGAGTTGTGTGCCTGAGGATGTGCGTGCCTGTCTTGTTTATGACGCTGTAGTGAGCCTCGTGGCACCCTCGATGCCTGGCAGCTGGCTCCGCGGCTCTGCGGCTTCTCTTGCACCGCTGCCGCCCTGCTCTGCCCCTTGGCCACAGAGGCCGCGGGCTCCAGCTTAGAGCGTTTGCACAGGCTCCTCAACACTTTTCCTCCTTCCTTCCTCAGCCACCACTCACCTCTCAAATCCCAGCCCAGTCACCTCTCCTCAGGGGAGCCCTCCTCAAGTCGAATCTGCCAGCAACGTGGGTTCTCCAGGAATTTGTATTTGCATTGCTCCCCATATTGGTGCGATTCTTGCTTTCTCTTTGTCCCCAGTTGGACTGGAAGCCTCGGGCGGGGTGGGGGGGGGTGCTGATCTGCTTTATTCCCCCAGGGCAAACCTGGGGGAGCTCAGAGCCTGGTGTCGCAGGTGCTCTGGACGTGCAGGGTGGGCGTGTAAGGGAGTGGGTGACAGGCGCTAGGCCCACTGATGGACAGGCAAGGTGCCCGTGCTATTCTCACACGCGCGAAGAACATAGGTTACAATTTCCTGACAGCCTGCTGGCATTTCTGTGAAGAGAACTATTTCCGCGGGTGCATGTATGTATAAGAAAAGAATCTCGGAAGAACAGCAAATTGAAAGCCGTCAGCGTTCAGCTGAGGGGCTACAGATGAGGCTTCTTCCTGCTTTTCTCTGTTCTTCCTCAGCGCGCCCTCAGATGTCTCTGAAATTACGAAGTGCACGCAAGCACCAGTCTTGTGGAGATGCAGCTTGTGAGCTGGCAGGTCTGTGGTGGGGCCTGAGAGTCTGCATTTCTGACAGGTTCCCAGGTGCTGCCACGCTGTGGGCCTGAGGACCAGAGTTTGAGCAGTGAGGAGGCAGGAGAGGAGGAGGGGAGGGAAGAAAGGGAAGCACGGAGAGGCTACAGGGAGGAGGAGGAGGAAGATTTCAGTAGAGGTGCGGCCTCTGCTCGATGGAGGCGCCAGGCAGGGGAGAAGGGAGGAGAGGCAAACAGAAGGCCAGACCATTGCCCGGGGGCACAGTGCACTTGGCGGTGGGCGGAGGTGCTGAGGTGTGGTGGGCTGGCAGGCGGGGCAGGGCAGAGAGCTCAGGGGTCTGGCACCCGGGGCTCCCCCTTCGAGCATTCTCTGTGCTTAGTGGTCCTCGGGGCCACTGTCAGCCTCCCCTGGCCCCAGTTGGGCAGGGAAGGGAGGAGTAGCTTGTGTCCTCAGAAGCTCCAAGGGCCCACGCTGGCACGATCCGCCAGGGCTCCGAGAGGGACTGGTGCTGTCCCCTGAGCCCAGCTTAACCGTGGCCTCTGACCTTGAATCCCTGGACGGCCAAGGGCAGGGCAGTCCCTCGAGGCAGCAGCCTGTGGCCCTGGTGTTGGGCCCCTCCTTTTCTGTACCATCAGCTCCTGGAAGCTGGGAGGACCTATCAGGGCTGAGGGGTTCGAGGGGCGGGCACTGCGGGAGGGGCAGTCAGGAGAAGCCTGGCTAAAGGATAAAGGCGCTGACCCAGATTATCCTCAAAGACAGCTGCCCACTGAGCAGCCGCCTGCCGGCCCCCACCAGGGCTGCTCTCACACACCCCTGGCACAGCCCTCCTGGAGTCTCCAAACCCATCACAGTCCTACTCGGGCGCCACCCACGGCTCCCCATGGCCTGCAAGCAGATTTTCCTACTTTTTATTTGTCCCCTCATAGAATTTTGACAAAACTCTATCCTCCCAGCTCTTTTAACTTGACATCTCTAATTTCTCATCCCTATGTGTAAGGTACACCTTTATTAGTAGGAAATAGCACACATGTAACATTTTACAGGATGAAATAGTGAGGATCGGCCTTCACTAGAATATTGTGACAAGACTTTGTGAAATAGGTTTTAATTATCAAATAGCCCACTTACAGAGTCCAGTTAGATCGGGATGAATCCTTCCCCGACTTCCACACTTGGGCTGTGTGAATTCAGAAGCTCACTACCCAGCAGAGCTGCCCCTGCCGGGAATGTTACAGGCAGGTGCCCCCATCAGCACTTTGTCACCTCCAGTTTGGAGGCACAGGCATTCTTTACACCAAGCACAGTGCCCTTAACTCTGGTGGGAGAGGATTCGAGCCCGGGACCCCTCATGGGGGCTGCAGGCTTAGCGACTGCGGCTCAGACCCACCCTCCGCTCCTAGCCAGTAGCTCCAGTCTGGGTCCTCCTTCTCCTGGACGCCTTCTCCAAGCCTGCAGCTGGCAAGACCCCTTGACAGATGCTCTGCCTGTCTGTAGAAGGTGCTTGGAGCCTGCTCTGGCTTTCTCTCTGCCACCACAGAAAAGCCTCATCCAACTCACGCTGTCCCTGCCCCACCAGGCCTGAGGGAAGCCACCAGCACATAACTTGAACAGCCAACAAAGATTTGGAGAATGATCCCGGGGCAAGCAATGCGCTGATCAAGGAAGCCAACTGCCCTGGGCGGTGATGACAGCAACTCAACATTCTGCAGGCAGGAAAACTGAGGCTCAGAGAGGTGCCGTCAAGTGCCCAAGGTCACTTGCCCAGTAAGCGCCAGAGCAGGCCTGAGGGGTGCCTAGGCCCGTCCACCAGGCGCCCTGGAGAAGGGCCACGCTGCCCGAGGACAGTCTTGCCTTGCAGAGGGAAGCAGCGGATCTTTCAGAGTCTGTGCTCCTGGCTCTTGTAAATTGTCTGTATTTGCTTTCGGTAAACACTCCCCAAGTAGTCACCTGATGAGGCTGCTAATGAAATCCACTGCAGAATTTTTATTTGCTAATTACACACAACGTAAACCTTAACACAACAGTAGACAATCACTAAACCCGTGGACTCGGGTTTTGTTTTCCTTCTCTCTTCAGCTGATTGTTCACTTCATGTAATGCTAAAATTGTGGATCTAAACTGACTAAGAATTCATCACAGGGTGAAATGCTCACGGTTACTTGATACACCCACATGAACTGTCTCAGATGCTGAGTCCAGCAAGGACTGGTGGGGACCCTAAATGTCAGGAGCAGGGACTGGGACATGGTGTGACCCTGGGTGGTCCCTTCCTGTCTCTGGCCTCAGTTTCTCTATCCAATGAAGGGGTTTATACTGGATCATTGGGTTTCAAAATTTCATTTTAGAAACAGACCTCCCTAGACAAAAATAGCAATATATAAAGAGCTTCCACAGATCCATTAAAAAAGAACAAAAATGCACGTGATTAAGGTGCATTGACGACATTGGCTCTCCGGTGCCTCATAAAGATCCAGCTCCTCTCACTGGAAGGTGGAGCCTGTCCCCCATTTTCTGAGGTGTCGAGTCTAACTCACGACTCGTTTGTCTAACAGAATAACGTGGCAGTGATGGCATGCCGGTCCCAGCCCTGCCCGCAACAGGTCTGTTTCTATTTTCTCTGGCACCTGGGTTGTCACTGCGAGGACATGTCTCAACCAGGCCCTAGAAGGGGCAAGACACACGGGGCAGAAGAACCCCAACTAAGACCAGATCAGGTCAGTCGCATGAGGAGTAATTCAAGCAGACTGAAAGTGCCACGCGGGCAGGAGGACCCACACTAGGGGTTTGAGCACCCAGACAGGCAGAGGGTCGGGGCTGGGGAGGTGAGGGCAGAGGAGGCAGCAGCAGGGAGCTGACTGCAGGGATAGGGGTCGCCAGAGGTGCAGAGGTCAGTGAGGGGTGGCTGAGCGGAGGCACTGCTGACCCTGGGATGAGCTGCAGCGTTGGGGCGGGAGCCAGGGGCCGGCGGAGGGAGAGGTGTCAGAAGGAACCAAGGTGACTGCAAGTGCTGCGTGGGCAGGACTGTAGGGGCCTGGGCCGGCAAGGTTGAGGAGACTCCACACCCACCTGCCCTGGCCACCTTCTAGTCTCAGGGAAGTGGGCGAGGGCAGGTGGCACAGCAGGCACAGCGGGGCGGTGCAGTCCTGCAAGTAAGTCCCCAGGGCCTGGGCTGCTTCCAGGCGTGACACATGCGGTCCCAGCAACAGCCACGCTTCTCTTAAGAAATTATATAGAGCTTTATTAAATAAACCCAGTAGAAATGCGTCTATTTACATCCAAGTTGTCAGTTTGAGCTCAAGTAACACGCAAGGCACAATTCTTCCTGTCTTCAGCTTTAGAAAAATACCCTGCAGGCTCAGATCCCCAGTGGAACTGAGCAGGCAGCCTCCGTCTGGGGTGGCTCCAGGTGCCTGCAGGCCGTCCTGAGCAGACTGGCTCCTGGGCCCAGGGCGGGTTCTGGAGGTTTCAGAGGTGAATCTGAGGAGCTGGGAAGGAGGAGCTTCCCAGTCATCCGTTTCGGGCCCCTTGGGCTCTGTGGCCGGTGGGGGAGCTGCCTGGGGGGGGGGCCTTTGGCCAGAACAGAGGCTCAGAGGTGCTGAGGTGTGTGTGGGAAGCAGGGTGAGGGTCAGCGGGGCGAGAGTCACTGGGCACCGCAGCCCTCAGCCCAGCAGGAAGGGAGATCCCTGTCTCCAGCTCAGGGACGCCACGAGTCTGGATGTCCCTGGGCTGATAAAGAAGTGGGAAGGGGAGACTGAGCCAGACCTTGGGAGGCCCCAGCGGGGCCAGAGCCAAGCCTGGAGCTATTTCCACAGTTTATGAAACAGAAACAGAGGACGGGAGGTCTGTTCATTTACAGCGGCCTGAAGAGCAGCGAGAGCAGCCCATTCTCGGCTTGAGGTGGCTGGGAGGCCGCAGGGGGCCAGTGGTGCAGTGCCTGCGTCCCTGAGGCTCCCTGCGTGGGGGAAGGGCAGGCACAAACACTCACTTCTGCTGCTCTCATTTCCGAGCAGCAGCCAGACGTGGGGAAAGTAAAGTTTCCACGGAGAAAAACCCTCACAAAAAGAATGAAAAAGTCCATTCCCTGAGATCGCCTGGTGGCGTCACCGCAGATGACTCCTCAACAGAGCTGCTGCGCACAGGACCGTGGGTGTTGACGCCAGCCACGCTGGGAGAAGTGGACACTGCGTGCTGTCCAGGACCCCGGGCAGAGGGCAGAAGGAATGTGCTGAGAAGTCTCAGCTTTGCAAGATTCCAAAGAACACAAACCAAGCACACCCCTAACCTCCTACATGTAAGAACAAGCGAACAAGCGTGGCCTAATAACTACAGCCCTGGCAAAGCAGGCGAGGCCTGGGGCTTGAGCCCGGGAGCTGGCTCCAGGTCGGATGGGGTAGGATTGTCCTGGGTGCAGGCCCAGCCTGGGGCTGGCTAGTGGGAGCTGTATGCGGGGCTCCATAACCCGGAGCGGGGGCTGGCTCTGCGCACGGCAGGCAAAGCGTTGAAAGGTGTTGGCGACGAGGCAGCGACATCTGGAAGGGAAAGGGAAGGAGACAAGTGAGCAAAAGGACAGCTGGGTGTCTCTCGGGGCCATCTCAGAGCCCATATCAGAACAGTGCTTCGCGCACCCAGCACCTCCTTCTAATGAGGCCCCCCAGGTATCCCTGGGCTGGTAAGGGGCTTGCTCAGTTGGCTCTAATATGGAAGGGGCAGTGCTGGACAGAGAGGCCTAGACTAACACCCAGAGATGCCAGACTGTGGCTGAGAACAGCAGCGAGTCTGAGCCTCAGGACCGAGTGGAGGTATCTGCTCACAGCCGGGCATGCACGGAGCAGCAACTGTCCATCGGGGGAAAGCGGCAGGAACAAAGACCTGGCTGTGGCTCCAACAAGCACAGAAGGAGTGCGCCAGCTCGTGTGATTAGAAGGGGGAGTGCCCATGGCAAGACTGCTGGATGCCGGCGCGGAGGGGTGGGGGGGGCGAGCGAGGGAGCATCTAGGGCAGCCATTCCCTGGGCCTGGTCTCGGATGTCAGAGAGGCGGCCTGGGAGAAGACCCTGACTCCAGGAGGCCAGGGCACATGTGGGGTCTTGAGACAGTGGGAAATGCATCTCTATACAAAACTTCATCCCCTTACCAAATATCCACGGACCCCCCCCCCCGCCCTGCTAAAACCTGACCATGCTGCCCCACAGGGCCAGTAGACACAAACTCCAGGATTCTGTGTGTGTCCTCAGTGGAATTCTCCACTGGAAACCAGGAGCTATAAAGGCTGCCATGACAGCTGTGCAGGCCAGGTGCTGCACAATTTTAGGGAACCCCAACCCTGTGGTTGTCATCATGAAAGGAATGGGCCTGGAAGGTCTACCCCATCTGGGACATCCCTTCTCAGGGATGCTAGAGTCCAGCTCCAGTTGGGCCTGTGCAGTAGCCCCGGCAGGCAGGAATCCAGTCCCGCGTGCACCCCTGCATGCCGAGACAGACCAGGCCAGGCCTGCCAGACTTAGGGCTCAGGGCCTCACCCCCCACAAGCTCCCCTAGGATGCTCCTCTCATCTGGCATGACCACAGGATAGGCTACTCACAGTGGGGGCTGTGCCGAGGGCTGGCTTGGGGGGAGAGGGCTGGAGGCACAGAGAGCTCCCGGGGTGTGCAGACGGCATGGTAGGCTGCAAGAAAGCACGGTGGTTAGAACAGGGGTGGGCAGGGGGCAAATCAGGGTACCCAGTGCAGCCTGCCTCACCTATGATCATGACAGCGGTCCCAGCCAGCAGGGCAAAAAGCGTGAAGAACATGACTTGGTAGGAATCCAGGAAGTGCTGGAAGAGGCTGGCTCCATCTGTGATCAATGGAAAGGCAAGTCACCTGTCATGTGGAGGTTCCTCCTGTCTGCGCATGGCTGGAGGGTGAGCAGCCTGCCTGAGGCCCGGGCAGCATCCCGCCCTGCAGGCTGTCACCTCCTTGGCTCTGCCCCTCCTTGGCTGCTTCAACCACCTGGCTGACCCGAGGCCCTGCATCCTTTGCACAAAGGCTCAGAGGAGGGCGAGAATGTGCCTGTTAGGTGGGGGTGGGAGGCTGGGGGTGGAGGCCTGGAGTGGGTGGGTTGCCTGGGAATCTGCCATGCCACCCCGAAAGGCAAGGCAGCTGAACAAGCCTAACTGTGCGTTAGAATGTGCCTCCACTGAGGCGCCCACATCGGGCCGTGCCCCTCTCCACCCATGGGCGTCCCAGCTGGCATCCCATCCTGCCACTCACAAGGTCCGGGTCCGCGGCGATCCATCACGAAGGCCACGGTGACTGGGACAGTGATGGCTTGGTTAGTCATGGGACTCAGGAAGGTCAGGGTGGTGGACAGAGGGCCCTGGCTGCCGGCTGTGGGATCTGAGACACTGACTGTGTAGGTCACAAAGCTGGGCAGCCCCAGAGACTTCTCCTTCATGAAGGCAAGTACAGCCGGAGACCCAGATTTTACCTGTCAGGGGGAAACATGTCAGGGGAAAACATCTACTTCTGCCTGACACGCTCTCTGGGCCCTGGGGCTAGGAGTGGGGACCCCTGCCCAGGCCCCACTTCCCAGATGGGGAATGCCACGGATTGAGCATGTGCCCCGCAGAGTGGGGAGGCATACCCTGCTCCTCCCGGCGCGTGTTTCGAGGGAAAGGACAAATCAGTGTCACTGAATTCTAACCAAGGAAATACTAAACCACCACAAACTCTCACCAACCACCAACTACCCAAGAGAGCACTGAGGAGTTTGGTACAAACTCACCGCCAGCTGCCTGCCTGCACTGCCCCAGTCTGGCAGGCCCTCACCAAAAGGAACTCATTCAGTTTTGCCCAGAGTGGCACATTTGCTGAGCAAGTTGAGAAGAGGCAGAAGAATCAACAGAGCCTTCGGCGACCTCACCCCAGGTCACCTCCCAGCTTGCCAGACTCCAGGATCTGTGGTGTCATTCACGACCCACCCTCAGCAGGTGGGGAAAATGAGGCCCAGCGTGAGGAACAGCCTTGTTACTGGCGGGGCTCCTGCTCCAGTGTCCCTGCCTGTGTCCACGGAGCATGTGCTAAGTGTGAGGGTGGCCTCAGCACTGCTCTGAACACTTAACTTCTAGAGGGAAGACGGCAGAAATACTGACAATTCACTGACGTAGGTTAATATTTAGATGGAAAGAGGGTGCTTCTTTTTTCCCAAGCTGAATTTTAAAGATGGGGGCCCGGGATATCCATGTTCCTCCCAGTCCTTTAACTGGCTGGCTTGTGGGAGTCACTCACCTCCAGGTTCTCCAAAACCTCCATGGCACCAAAGACCTTGACCTCGGAACTGGTGTAGTGGTTGCTCAAAAGGATTTCAGCCTGGTCAGCATACAGCCCCGGGCTGAAGGGCACCTCGGCCCCGAGCTGCTCTGCAGAGAAGTGGCTGCCCAGCATGGAGGCGGTGACCACCAGCACTGTCTTCTTCATGCTGAGGTGCTTCAGCTGCTTGTCCGTCAGCCTGTGCATCGTGATGGAGCAGAGGTACCGGCCTGTGAAGACAGGGCGTCTGCCTGATCCCTTCAATCGCCCATACCCTGAGGCTGCTCCTTTTCCCTGGTTTTCTAACTGGACAACTCTTACTCGTCCTTCAGAGCCCAGGTGAGGCATCTGCCTCCTCCAGGGGCCCCCGGTAATGGGCACTGGCCCAACCTCTCTGGCTAACACTGGGAAGCATGGCTTCAGGAGGAACTGAAACAAGGGCCCAGGGACCGCCGACCACCACGGCCATCACCACACTGGTGGCTACTGTGGGGGCTGGACTGTGCCGGGACCAGGCAAAGCACGGGGCAGAGATGAACCCACTAGTTCCTCATAGTACCTCAGAGGGGACACCCCTTTCTTAGAGCAAAGTGTGCCACTTGGTGTCACGCCGCGCTTGGGGCTAGTTACCAAGTTGGGGCGGCAGTTACGTCCCCGCTGTCCCCTCTGTGGAGGGAAGCAGAAGAACCCTGGAGCTCAGGTTCCCAACTCTGAGCTGTGTCTTTCCTGCTGGCTGGAGGCGGATGTGGGCGACAGCCACCACCAGCACAGGCATGCTAATCCTCCTGGCGGCTGTGACGAACCAGAGGCCAGGGTGAGGGCTTCAACCCCCAGGCTGGGCTCCTGACAGACTCGGCCTCTCTGGACAGACAGCCCCTGGGAGCTCAACGCACGAAGGCATAGCCTCCGTGCATGTCAGCGCTTGCGTTTGCCCCTGCACACTCACCCAAAGCAGCATCAAACCCTGGCTCTGCAGTGAAGATGTCCCGGGCCTGGAAGTCGAAGAAGTCTTGCTTGAACTGGAGCTGGCAGCTGATGAGGGATTCTGGGTGCAGCGTATCAATGACTTCCAGCTGGGTGGGGGAACACTCACCTAGAGATAGGAAGAGGAGAAGGGCATGGGCCAGGGCTGCTGGCCACCCTACCTGGGCCAGGCCCGAGGCCTCTGCACCTGCCTGTGGAGCCCTAACAGGAGCAACCCTTCTGTCTGTGGGGTTGTATGCAGCACTGCGCTTCACATTCCTGCCATGCAGGGGCCCTGGGGCTGTCCAAAGCCTGGTAATGGCACCAGGGTTCATGAAGGCGGAGGCCAAGTCACACAGAAAAGGTTCCAAATCTCGGGCCCTCAGATCAGCATTCCAGCACGTGCTCCAGGACGTGCGCCATGGGCTCACAGATGGGTCGGGCTGCCTAAAGTGTGTTGTCTGGTCTCGTCAGCACAGGGGCAATGGGCAATTTATTTCTGGATATCAGGAGGCAACCACTCCCCACCAGCGCAGAGTATCGTTCAGTGCGTCCAGCGCAGCGAGGAGGGGGCAGTGGCCATCCACTGCCGTACGGTGCCCATTACCGAGGACGGCGCTACTTAATCCTCCCAGCTAAGTGGTTTTAAAATGCAGCCTGGATTGATGTATTCATTTCTGGCAGCTTGCTGTCCAGGGCTGTCACGGGCAGGGGACAGTGCCGAATGTTCTATGCAAGACTCAGGAGAGGTAATTATAAACATCAAAATCAGCAGTGAGGCCTGCTAAGTCATGACTTTCTGGGATTAATGGTGCTAAATTGTGGCTTTCTTTTCTCAGGTGCCCTAGGGCTGAAGTCATATTTCCAGCTCAGAAACAGGCAATTTCTGGGAGCCTTTGGACTCTTCAGGTAAGATTCCTTTCACGATTTCAGCTTGCAAAGGACACGCATTTCTAAGGAGCTGGAAGGAGCGAGTAAGCTGGGGTTAAATGCTCTCTCTGGAGCTGATGTGAACTGGAGTAGGAAAAGCAGAGAAAACGGCAGTGGGCATAAGAAGGCCCCTGGTGCCTGCCCCCTCCCCCCGGGGGCAGTGTTTCCAGACCTCTCAGGTTGGAGTTCCCGTCTCCAACGGTGACCATCACTTTGGAGGCTGCCACATCCTGGAAGCTGGTCTGGACGGGGTGGAGGTGATGGGCCACGATCCTCTGAGGGACACCGATCACCATCTGGGAGGAGCAACTTGATTGAGCACTGACTGTACCCACCATTTTAAGTCTCCTCTGAGGGCTTGCCCATTTCACAGGTGACAAAACAAAGGCTCAAAGCCGAAATGCCTGCCAACACATGGCATTGCTGGGGGATCCCCAGGCAGGTGTCTCGTATCAGACAAGCTGCTTCTCCCAACAGCAGAGCAGGGAGTTGAACAGCCAGCCAGAACTAATGCGCCCCTGGGGAGCAGGGGGCAGGGCTGTGGCCTGGGGCTTCTGAAACAGGATCCCTCTGCTGCCCATCCATTTGGCTTACTAATCTTTCAGCAGAGTGAAAGATCCATTTTACTTTACTATCATGTATTCAAAATAAATCAGCCTGACCAAAATGCAAACTCACATCCAGTCTGGGGAGTGAGGACCCCTGAGAATCCACATATCCACATTTCTCCTTGCTCATCCCCTTGCCCATCCTCCAGCTGGCTGCATCCAACCCCCAGCCGCCACCTTCCTGGGGCAGGACCAGCTTCCTTACATGCTGCACCTCCTCTGTGGGCCCACAGCCCCCACCCCACAGCTCAGCTCCAGGGCTGCCTTTGCAGTTGGAAGGCTGCTCAGCCTACCCTGGGCCTTTCCTGCCTCCGGGGGTGAGATTTCTACCAGAAGGTGATCTCCGTGAAAACAGGATGGGGTCTTCCTTCTCTCCTGAGCCCCCAAGTTCCCAGGGCGATGGTCCCACAGAGGCTACCCATCCAGCTCCAGACACCAGCAGGCTCCTGCTGCCAACGCACCCCCTCCCATGGGTGGGTCCTTCCCAGAGGATGAGGAAGACCATGCCCCACTTTGCCCCCGTGTTCCCATCCACCCTGCCTCCCACCTCCTCTTCTATTCCTGACTGCCAGGCACCCCCTTCTCCTCACTTCCCCCTCGTCCACATCTTGGAGAGAGGGCCTAGGGCCCCCTGGCTCTGATATTCCCTCCATGTTCCTGCCTACTCCCAGGTCTTCCAGAACAATCTCTGCCCTGGAGACCCCGCCCCATGTTGCCAGTTTTCCACGCTGGAGTTCCAGGCACATCCACCTACCTGTGTCACCACCAGCCTCATCCTGAGGAGCTACAATCACCACATGCACCTGTCCTCCCCCACACCAGCCCCTCCTCCTGTGTTCTCCTCTCAGAGCAAAGGACGATCAACCCACACCAGAACCAGGAGAGTCGTCCCAAGGCCTTGTCTCCTCCGACCCTCACTTGGAATGGTCACCACACTGTTGTGACCCCTCCCTCCCAAGCCCCGAGTTTCTGTCCACTCAGCAGTGTTGCAGAGGACCTGCCCACGGTCTCCTGGCTGGCCCTCCTTTGGCCCAGACCCTACTCGAGGTCTTGCCAGAACACACCTCCATCCACATCACGCTCGGCTTGCAAAATGCCTTTGAGGCGGCCCCCTGTGCCTGGGGTAAGCGGCAACCCCTGCTCTGGCAGCCACAGTGGCAGCTGCACCCACTGGACACGTGTGCAGTGCTGAGTGCCACTGCACGTGCTGCCATGGCAACACCTTCCTCCCTGCGAGGCATCACCCAGCTTACGGGTCAGAAGACCAAGCTGTCTCCAGCGGCTGAGCAGGGAGCTGAGCCCACTTCTTGCACTGCACCATGCCCCTGGAGGCCCCCCACACAGAAGGCGCCTCGGCCGCTCATCCCCCTCAACCAAGCTCCAGCCAGGCAGGGCTCCTCGGCGCCATGCTTCTGTGCTGCCCTCCCGGCGGCTCCTCCGGGAGCGCACAGCCTTATCAGTCACAAGGTGCCTCTATCTGCAGCCCGCACCCAAACTGCGGAGTTGCAGCACTGAAGCTGCGAGCTATTAGGTTAAACCACTAGATTCGATAAAGCGCACGCTGGCTCTAGAAATGAGACACATTTGGAACACAGCCAGGCTGTGCTCATTGATTCATTCTCGGCTGGAGATAAACACGAGAGGGAATGGTTTTGTTCGCCTCCAGAAAGATTCAAAAGGTGACTTGCTAGGGAGGTTTAACTTTGCTGGTGACGCCAAATTGCGAGGCTGGCCCGCCCACGGCCTGACTCCAGGAAAGTGCCCAAATCCAAGGCTGGGCCTTCCAAGCGTGGCTGTGAGACAGTGTGGGGAGCTGGGTCACCCCAGGAGATCGGCCTCTGATGGGCATCACGGTGCTCTGAGCATGGGGAGACAAGGCTAGCAAGCAGAGGGAGGCTGGCCCAGCTTGGAGGTGGTTAGGGACAGAGCCCACACTCGGGTCTCAGTGCTTCTTTCTTAGAGCAAAGGGACTCACTCAATCTGGAGAGCTGAGGAATCCCCACATGAGGGAGAGCCAAGCCGCTGGGGCCACCAAGCCATGTGTGTCCTGAAGGCCTACCTCCTTGTAGGTCCTCAGGTGCCCGGCAACCTCGTAGTAAACTGTCACAGATCCCACATCCCGGGCTACGGCCACGCCGGTCTTGGGGTCCACGTGGAGGATGTTGTTGGCTGAGGAGCTCCAGGTTCCAGAGATACCTGGGGGAGGAAGTCTAGGCTGTCAACCAGCTTCCCATGTCTGACAATGCAGCCAAGTCCTGTCTCACCTGGGTGACGGTGCCAGAGTGCCACAGCACTGCCCGGGGGAGCTCACCTGTCACCCTCAGGACAAAAGCCATGATTCCTGCTTCTGTGGCCTGGCTCCCATCATGCTTCTGGTGGGGGCTACCTGGAGCCACTAGTAGCTGTCCAGCCAGGCCTGTGCCCACAGCGAGTCTCCAGTTCCTCTCACTCCCAAAGCCTCTGCTTGCCCCCTTTCTCTCCTGGGTGCCCCCCCCCCCATTTGCTTATTAACCCAGAGAGCAAGCATCAAGTGCTGAACTGTCATTAGATAGCATTTCTTGGCTAAAAACCAATCACATTATATACTAAATACAATAAAAGAACTCGATAACCACATTTTATTTATGGCAAATTAGATTTGCTTTTCTTTAAAGTCAGCGTTTAATTTCCCTTTAAAATGAATTTAATTAGGTAAAATAAAATAGGGAGTCAATCTGAAAGGAAAACTAAGCAAATAATTGCACATGTGGTCACGGATGTACAGGTGGCACGGGCTGACCACGCTGTCTCAGCCACCGCACTGGCCCAGGGCCTTGTCCCCACTGAAGTCTCCTAGAGACACGCTGCCCACACACAGCCACCAGCTGCCCCTGTAACTGGGGCAAAACATTCTGTTCCTCGGCTGCACTTGCCATGTTTGGTCACCAGAGTCTGGCGTGTGACACAGTGAAGGCACAGGCTACCTCCACAATGGCAGAGTATTCTGGTGCTCTGTTCTACAGCAGGGGTTGGCAAGCCTTTTCTGTAAATATTTGGGGCTGTGCAAGCCCAATGGTGCTTCACTTCACCTGGCAGTTGTTGGGTGAGGACAGTGACATGCAGAAGAATGATGTGGCTGAGCCCCAGGAAAGAGGCAGCAGGCTGGACCTGGCTGGCCGGGGCAGTTTCCCGGCTATGGCCCTAGAGCACGTCCAGGTTCTGTCTGCACCCCTCCCAGCCCTCCCAGAAGCCTGGCGCCATCTTGGAAGTGCCAGTGACCCAAAGGGTGCCCGGTCATCACCCCTCTTACCTTCCAGGCTGACCAGAACAGTGGTCAAACAGAGGACATCCCCCACCACCACCACTCCAGACAGCTCTGGGGAGATGGCCTGCAGGACGGGCAGCGGGACGAAGTCTGAGAGGCCAGGATGCTCCGTGTCCCACACACTGAGCAGCGTCAGGCCCACACTGACGGCACGGACGACCCATGTGTTGTTGGTGGCACCTTTCCCGACCTGCACGAACTCATCTCTGGGCACAGGAGGGAGACAAGGGCTCAGTCTCAGAAAAGAACCCCCAGCTCTGGGGAAAGGGGGTGGTCCTCTGACTCAGTTTACCAAAAGGTGGCTCTAGTTCAGGGGCCACTGCAGGCTGCGCACACCTGACTTCACACCATCAGCTGAGTGGTCTACAACATCAGCCTGAGGCATGGAGTGAAAGTGGGGCCGAGGGACCAGTGTGTCGTGTAAAGCACTTCCCGGCAGGGAACTAGGGCATTCTGGGGAGGCCCAGGCTATTCTCTCCCTCGTGACCTGAACCAGTCATGGAGCCTCTGCCTGCTTCATCTGTGACATGGGGGAATTCTGTGCCCATGTCACAGGCTCCATGAGGGCGCTGAGGAAACTGGCAGTCATAGGGCACCCAGCACCACTGGAGTGCTCAGCCACCAGCACCATCGCACTGGAGGACAAGTTGGGATCCGGCTCCCTCCCTGTCTGCACCTCGCTTTCTGACACCCAAGCCCTGACTGGTCCCCAGGAGAGTGCTCCTACCACAAGTGGCCGGAGTGACTTCAATGGCGGAGCCAAGGGGTTGACAGACACCCATCCTGTGTGGGCGGGGCCCCATAGGCTGGCACAATCTCAGCCTCCACGGAAGGTGTCCTGGGGACTGGGCCACATTCCCCACCTGACAGTGAGCTAGCCAGGGAACTGAGAGACCACGCTCAAGTTCACAGGCCCCACAAAGGGCAGAGCCAGGGCTCAAGCCAGGTCAGCCCCCAAACCCAGCTCTTCCACCATACCAGGCCCAAACAGTGCCCTGAGTCTTCAGCAAGGGGGGCGTATCAGCTGCAGGGCTGGGGGAAGGCCAAGTGGCAATGCCAGCAACACCTGGATATACCCCAGGGGTGCTCTCTGGAGCCTTCCCGTGTCTGCTTCTTGCCTCTCTTCCCAACTGGGTCTGCAGCCCCTCCGCCACTGGTTCAAAACCTGTGTGATCACCCAGAGGCCTTGTTTAAACAAGACTGGCGGGCCCTGTAAATGTGCACTCTGAGTGTCCAGGTGATGCTGATGCTGCTGATTTAGGGACCACACTTCACCACTCACAATCATGTGAGAAATAGGCATCACCCATGCCTACCTGTTTGTTGCAAAGTTGAGGACTGAATTGTAAGCATGGAAGATGTCTCCAGAGTTGTCGTGGAAGTGGACAGTGAAGGTCATGGTCATCCCTAAAGGCAGGGCCACCAGAGCCTCCTTGTTCTGGGTGCACAGGGCAGGGCTCATAGAGAGTCTCAGGTAAGAAACAGGAGACACCTGGAAGCCAGTGAGCAGGTATGACTAGGACTGTGCCGGGCACAGCCTCCTCCCCTATACCCACCCCCAACAAGATGCCTGCCCCTGGCGACCCCGACTCAGGAAGGACTGGGCGCCGGAGCGGCCCAGGGACCACGGGAGAGGACAGGCCTCGCCTGCCCCAGCTTTCCACCCTAGTGACACGGGCCCCTCCCCAGGCAGCGGGCCAGCTCCACTAAAAGAAAACCCAATCTACAAGAGTCAACATCCATGACTTTGAAAAATCAGACCATTATTCACGCTGCAAAAATCTCCCCTGGGCCTGAATGCCCAGTTTCTTTAGCAGACCAGCCTCTTGGCATTTAAATAGAAGCAGCGCCCGTCTGGAATGCAGAGGCAGCATGAAGTAGGGGCCGCTGCCGCTTGCAGGAGCTCCAGGAGAAGGAGAGGTGGGTGAAAGGGGGGAATGATGAGTTTTGGGGTCCCAGAAACTAAGTTCTATAAAGAGCAGCCGTGGTTCTGACTCCTGGCCAAAAAGCCAGCCCCTCAAAAGTCCCAATTTCTCTGACGAAGCTTAGTGGGGCATCGGCTGCTCACACTTGTATTCAGGGTGGCGCTCAGCTTGTATTCCGGGTGAGCAGTAAGTCGTGCTCACACTTACTCAACAACTCGGGTGAGGGCTGCCTGCCAGGCACCCAGCTTGAAAATACAAAGACGGTAATTAAGGAACTAGGCCTGAGACCCAGGCAAAACTTGAAAGTTAAAGTGACCATTTTCTCTATCACCTAGGATTCAGAAAATGGCTGTGAACAGAGGAAAAGAAAATCCTGTTCTGGATGCGCCCAGGACCCAGGGCGGGGGGCCCTGGGACAGGCAGAGGGACAGGCAGCACGCTAATGCTGGGCATGAGCGGACCTGCTGGTGGCGAGTCCAAGCGCTGGCTGGCCATCAGCATGGGGCTATGAGCCACTCTACTCGCCGCCCTGCCCCCCGCCCATGAAGCTATGTGTCCTGGCCTGTGAAATGGGTCGCCTCGTTCTCTAGCGGCTGGGTATGTAACCAGGTGTGACCCATGGCAGTGATTTCAGATGCCTGCCGTGTTCCAGGACACAGCCGGTCAGGACAGTGGGGACCAGTGCCAGCCGAGTGCAGACCTCACTGGGCCTCAATCTCCCCGACTATGACACGAGGTTGCTGGAATCAGTAATCTCCAAGGAGCTTTGGCGCTAACAGCCAGAAGATGCTGCACTTTTCCAGCTAGGATGTCTGGCCCTGTTATTCTTATATTCTCAGCCAAAAGGAAAGAGAAAATATTTCACCTCCACACAATTGCTTTCATGACTCCAAAAAATAGGAAAAGCATGACTCTACCTTTACAGCGATGGTAATGGTTTGGTTGGCTCCAAAAGGCTCTTGGGCAGTCACTCGGATTGTGGCCGTGCCAATCGCGGACCCCGACACCAGGAAGCCTTTCTCATCGATGTGCACGAGGGGAACCTTCTCAGGCCTGTCCAGGACACGGTAGCTCAGAGACGCTGTGCCATCCCTTTGAAAACAGAACGGAACCACTTGCACAGACAGGACTGGGCAGGACGGGGTCAGCACAAGGGCCCAGCGTCCCGGAGCTCCTGGGAAAAGGGAAGGTGCCAGCCGGAGCACAGTGGGCAGCCCGCCAGCAGCCTAGTTCATTGCTGATGGAAAACCAGCTCTGAAAACCACCAGGTTGGGGCGAGCTGTGCCTCTCGCTCTTTGGAGCAGCAGCTACAGCAGGCGGGTCAGCAGGGCCGAGGGAGGGCTGGTTCCTTCATCAGCTACACAGGGCTACACTGTAAACACCACTTCCGAGAGGCAAACTGCTTTCAATTAGCTGAGATGAGGCTGCCTTGTGAGGTGAGAAGTGGTGGGGCTTTGAGTCAGAAGAACCCCAAGGTGGCCCCCATCCGGCAGACAGCTGGGGCACAGGATGCCCCACCTCTGGGCCTCAGTCTCCTCCACTGTGAAGGGCAAGCAGGCATCCTGCCCTGTCCCACTTCCAGGGCCTGCTAACAGAGCACGATTGGGCTTATCAAACCACTTATGTTACGCGCTGGGTCCAAGACAAGAGGCGCAGGACTTACTCCATGGCCCCTGATGTACCTGTTCATCTCACAAAGACACAGAAGAAAGGTTGCCGGCCCGCAGGGCTAGCCCCTTCTGGTCCCTCTTTGTCCTGAGCCCGAGGGACCTTCCTCAGATGACTTGAAGCAAATGTCACTGTCTCTGTCTCAAACCCTCCCCCCTCCCCTGCATCATCAATCTCCCCTTGTCCTGCAGAACTCCTACACATCCTTCAAGACTAAGCTCAAGCATCACCCCCATGCCGCACCTCCCTCCATCCTCATGTGGAAGGCCTGTCTTAGCCTATGACTCAAATATCATTCCTTGTTTTAAAATAGCCCCTCTCGTGCCACCCTCCTCTTACCCTGCAGACTCCCCAAGAGCACCAGGTGTCCCGCATCCTTGTGCCCAGAGCTGGCATTTAGACACTTGCTGGAATGAGGGCCGTGTGGCTGTGTGTGTGTGTTTGTATTTCCTGGAAGTTGCACATGCTCACGGCCGCCATGCTGCAAATGCAGTTTACATGCAAGTTTCTGCCACCCAAGACCTGTTTGCAGACTGGCTTCAAAACCAGCCTCCCTGATGTTAATGCGTGTCCCTGCGGCCTGGGAGCTTGCTGGGGTGTGGGTCTGGGAGGGGCCGTGATTTGCAGTGCATGGGCTGCCCGGTGGCACCATGCAGTGCCTGCTGGCTTGTGGTGGGGCACACTGGACAGCAAGTATTCAAGACACATGAAAAATGGAATCCTTCCAAGTTGGTACCATTCTCCCATTAAAGTACTGGATGTCAGCAGCGGACACTCGCAGGTTTCTAAGATACAGGAAGGGGGCTCGCGGGGAGATGTAGATGAACAGGGAACAGCCCGGTGAGCAGGAGGAATGTAGGGCTACACACATTCACGTGCAACCCCAAGACAGCCGCGCAGCTCCCTTGCAGTACCCATGCTGGCTCTTGCCAGCCCCAACAAATGAGCTGTCGATGTCGTGCAGCTTCACAACCCTGCTGCAGCCAACAGCACGTTGCATACCTGTTTGTCTGCAGCTTTAGAAACGAGTTGGGTGACATTAATATTTGTTCAGCTTCTATTTCAGGGTTCAGCAGCACCAGCTTTTCAAATACCTGCAACAGAGGACGTTTTATTTCCTGTGATGCGTTGGAAGCACATCTAGGTATCCTTTTCTCCAGCAGTGGGAGCCAAGGGGCCCAGATGAGAGATACCGTTCCACGCCCTTGTTGGGAAGTGGTGCCCTGAAGGCAAGGGCTGACCCTGTACCTTACATGCCCCGACCCCAAGCCCCACCATGCTCACCACAGTGATCTATCTCCTCACAAATACCGAGAGCTCCCAAGCCAGGGCCAGGGCCCCCACCTCTAGTCTTGGGGCGGTGGAAAAATCCATGTATGCCCAAGTGGCTCCTGAGAGAAGGGAGGTGCAGAGCCAGCACTTACGCCTCCTCTCACACATGGCTCCTGCCCACCTGTCCTTTACCTGGATTTGGATCTCATCAGAGAGTTCTTTGGCGAGGCCAAGCAGCTGCCCAGCTGTGGGGTCCAGAGCCTTGACCACCACCCTCAGCCCGGTCCGGCCTTTCACCCGACCGTGCACGTTCATGGCAAAGTTGTACTGTGATGGTAGCTGGATCGATGCCTGGGACAGATACCAAATGCTTTTAAGGAGAGGCCCAGGGTCCCTTGTCCCCCAAAAGGCAAAGGCAGACTAGAGCCCAGACATACCAGCCTTCACACCCCAACAGCTGCCTAGGAGTTCTCAAAGGCTGCTGCCTTCCCACCCTGGTCCTGGCCTGCAAACGCCAGGGCCAGGTTAACAGATTCATGGTGCATTTGGGAAATGCCGGCCCACCCACACGAGCCAGTGCTCTCAAAGCCGGAGTCCTCAGAGCCTGCAGCTTGTGGAAGTGGGCAGTGACTCACCAAGGGGACGCTAGGCTCAGTATGATCCCCTGCAGAGCCCTCTGTGGTGGAGTCACACCACCCAGGCACCATGGGAGCCACCTGGGGAGGCCTTGGCACAGGCAACAGGACCCTGGCCCCACCAGTGGCATGGGGGGCGGGATTTATCAGGCAGCCTTCAGGAAAACCCATCCCCATGCCTGGCCCCTTGGTAGGCCCCCATCTCTACTGTCCATAGGGGAGGCAAGGAGAAACCTCTCAGATCCAACAACCCATTAAGTCCTGCGTGACCAAGGCAGGGATGATGGCCTTGAGTCACAAGGCCTGGCGCCCAGTCCCACTTCCCCACTGGCTAGCTGGGGAGTCCCTTCCCACATCCTGGCTCCAGTTCACATAAAGAGGGGTTCAGTGAATCTTCTATAGCACCTCCAGGTCGGGGTGTGAAGAGAGGCCAGAGTGCCCCTATGCAGGCATAAGGGGAGGGGAGGTTAGCTTCCAAGAAAAGCCTGGAAACCACTCTTGATGCAAGGTATCAACGTAGAGGTCAGAAGTTACCACCTTGGGGCAAGCCAAATTCATGTTCTGAAGCGTTTGTGGCTTTCCTGCAGGCTGTCATTTTTTGCTGCTTTCTCTAGGAGGGCACCTACTACATCCCTTGCAGCGGCTATGAGTGCGCTTAGCATGCAAAGGATCCTCTGAGAAGGAGCCGTGAGCTGTGGCCCGGGATGAGGGCAGGGCTGAGTAAAAAGGGTGAGGGTGGGAGTAGGGGTGGGGGTGGGAGGTGGGGGTGGGTGATTGAGGGTAGGGCAGAGAATGCAGGAATGGGCCCAGATCCATGGGGTATGAGGGTGCATATGGGGTGAGAACCTGGCCTGGGGTGTTACCTCATGGTGCCGCCCTTGGACGTCTAGGATGTCCCGCTTGGTGACAGACCAGTGGAAGGTCAGGCCTGGCACAGCATTGCCAAAGGAGAAAGGGTTCTGGTTGTTAGTGATTCCGGTGATGTAGACCGGCATCTGTGGGGGAGAAACCAAACCCTGTATACAGCGGAGTCCCAACCCTGGGAGGGTCCCCCCGGGAGTCCAGGGGTATGACACTGCTTGTCCACTGCTGGGTACCTCCTGTCTCCATGCAATGGGAGCTATGCCCAGTTCTTCCCTCTGCAGGGATGGGCACGGCAGATTTGGGACATCCTACTTGAACCTTGGGCTGTGTCCCACTTGGCCAAGATTCTAATGCTGGAATGACTCCTTAGAGCTCTAGGATGGAGCCCCCCAACCCCTCCAGTATAATTCACCGTGCCTCACCATCCTACCTCTACTTCTCTCTTTCTCAGGTTAGCAGGGGCAGGGGCCCACTCCCATGTCACAGTGTGGGAGGGAGGCACTGTGCCCTCCATGACGTAGTTTCCCAGTGGCTGCTGGGCACACCCGGAGGCTATGCAGCCAAAGGCCAGCAGACACTCCAGGCCAGGCAGCCCGAGTCCCTTTACAGGTCCATCACTTAAAAAGCCACTTGAGCTGGGGCAGAAGCTTAAGCTTCCTGCGTGTTGGTTTCCTCCCCTGCAGTATGGAGATGCAACTTGCAGCGGCCTCACAGGGTTGTTATGATGATTGTGAGCAAGAATCAGGAGCAGAACATGCAGGGAAGGCTCCCTTTGGGTCCTGAAGCTGCATCCCACTCAGAAAGTGGTGAGGAAGTGCTCCACATGAAGGGAGCATGTGCTAGCAGTGGCTCACCAATACTCATCCTGAACTGAGAACTCAGAGCCCAAAATCCACCAGAGGCTTGCTCAGAGAGCATAGATAGGAGGTGCTAGAGAGGTTCCCACCTACCTGGGTCCCTGTCCTCATCCGTGTGATGGGGGCACGGATCCTCACTGCCTGGAGAAGCAGCACCTCCACCTCCACAAGATCCTAGAAAAGGGTTTTGGGGCTCAGGTTGGCTGGGGGCAGGGGCTCATGCTAGGGATGGGTATTTTGGAAAGGATCCCTCCAGCAAAAGCAGCTCCTGCCAAGGTCAGCCAGCATCACGTGGCTATAAGGTGTCCACTAGATATCTAGCTCAATGCTTCTCTTCCCAAGGTCCCAAGGTCCTGGCCTGTGGAAGGCTTGCCAGCTACATGGACCTGGCCACTGCCTCTTCTGGGGGAGCCTTGCCTGGTCTTCTACCTGTAGACTTATCTAAATCCACATGTTCCAGATCAGCACTGTATGGATTTGAGGTCAGGGATGAGGGACTGTTGTCTAGGCCAGCAGTCATCACAAGAGAGTTCTCCAGACCTTCCCAGCCCCAAATCTAGCCTCACTCTCTAACTGAGCATAGACAAATGCAAGAATCAGAAAGAGTGTGATTAGAGAAGACCTTATGCCCTCCTTCATTTTGAATTCTATACTCCTATTGATCTGACCAAAGTCTAACTCTGTTGGCTTCTATGTAGTGCTACTTAGTCAAGCTGAACCCAGGCTACTAAAACCCTAAAGGCCTTTTTAAATGTTCTCAGTGGAGCCACCACCTGTGCCTGTGACCTGGCTTAACACCTGACCCATAACAGGTACTCACTATGCACCCTTACCCTCTCTTCCTTGGTCCTTTTCACTGCTTAGTTGCCTCCTGCCAATCCTGGACCACCCCTTGGCCTTGGGTTCTCATTGTATGACCTGGTTTGGGGAAATGCAACTGGGCACTTCTGACCAGAATCACACTCCCATTGTGGACATGTGGGCCTGGCCTGAGCCCTGGGTACTGGCTCTGAGGAGATGCTTTTTAGAAGAAGCTGATGGTGCAGCCTCTCCATCTGCCAAAGGCCACCAGGGCTTTTCCTCAGCACCTTCCCCAAAAGGTCTTACTGTGGGGTGGGGCGGAGGGAACACAGAAAGAGGAGGTGGCCCAAGCAAAGTCAGACCACAAAGAAGAACAAAGTCCAGAGGGAAACTTATGACTATGCTTCCCTGGCCAAATTCCCAGCCAGGGCTATTTTAGCCACATGGGTCCCATGAGGAGAAAAATGAGCCAGTTACTGAGCCCCAATCCGTTTTTCAGAGAAAAAACAAAGCCAGGCCTCCTGAGCTCCTGATTGTACTCCCTAGGATGTTGATCTGAACCCTGCTGTACGCCAGAGGACCAGTGCTCCCTTGTCTTTATGAAGTCAGAAGTTAAAGACTTTGTAGCTTAACTGGGATACTTGCTGAGACACTGAAAGTGCTGGAAGAAGGGGTAAACTGAGGAGCCCAATGTTGGACGGAAGTCAGCCTCAGAGGGGGGAGTCTGCAGGGGCCGTGCCCACCGTGCAAGGAGCAAGTCCCTGACACAATTTCTAGGTGCTCTGCACTCAGGGGAGCGGTACATCACTTCCAGCAGGGGTGGGAGAACCTGTTCCTGACAGAGCAGCTGGAGAGACTCAGTTTAGAGAAGAGAAATCTTGGGGTCCAGGTGGTCCCAGGTTGGCAGGGCTGCCCTGGGCAGAGTGACAGAGCAGAAGCAGGACCTTCAGGGACGTGGAACAGAGCCCAAACCCAGCAAGTGGAGCTCCTCACTCCAAGGCCCAGGGCTGACGGGAGTGCCATCTCCACCCCTACCTGAGACACAATAACGAGCTTGCCGGTCTCAGCATCCACGGCCTGCACCACCCCCGACACGGTGCCATTGCCGACAGCGAGGCCCTGCACCAGCCCCGACCCGTTCACCACCGCCACGCTCTCGTTGCTGATGGAGAAGAGGATGTTGGACTGAGGCTGGGGGCCGCCTTCAGAGGTGATCTGCAGTGGGGAGAAAAGGCAGTGCCTGTCAGCCCCCCTTTATCTTCAGTGGGCAGGGGTGCACTCCACCTTCGCCTCTCCCGACCCCCAAGGCAGGCTGCCGGTATCAGCCAGGGCAGGGGCAGGCCGCAGAGGGGGAGGGTGCAGCTTTGGCACCTACCTGCATAGTGGCCCCGATAATCAGCACCACCTTCCTGGGTATCAATCTAAATGGGGGAAAGACCTGGATGTGGGGAGATGAGAGAATTAAGATGTAGTTCACACGAACATCTTACCCTTCCTTCCTCTGTGAAGAGGGACGGAGTGGCCCCCGCAGGATCTCACCCCACCATCAGAAATGCACATTCCCCAGCCCACCCCAACCTGCAGGGCCAGGTGGCGGCCTGCAAGCTGCTCTAACGGAATTCTGCAGTGTGTCTGGGTTCAGAGCCCCCTGCCACCGAGATTTCCCCACTCCTCTTTAGAAGGTTGCCTCTTTCTCCAGATTTCTCCAGATGTCTATTGACAAACCGCCTGACCTCAAGGCCCTCACATCTTTTCCAACGAGGAAGGAGAAGCTGTGGGGCAGGAACAGGGAAGCCTCCCTCTCTGCAGCAGGGCAGAGCCCTAGTGCCTTCTTCTGCATCCCCGTCCTCCCTGATGGGCAGGGGCCTAGGGGAGCTTGCAGGGTGAGCGAACGTGCGCTGGTCGCTGGGCTCAGGGGCTGCTCCTGGCGTGCAGGTCAATCTGCGCAGGGCCGGCTACTAACAGGCAGAGGTGCAGCGCCACCTAGAGGCACCGACCACATCCACTGGCTTCAGAAGACATATGCCCACCAGGCCCAGTGGCACCCAGATCCTGAGAGTATGCCGGCAGGAGCCGGCTTGATGCTGTCCTAAAAGATGAGCTTGATATGATTTCTTGGCCACAGCTGCCTTGCCCCATGGGGCTGCCATCACAACCTAATGCCATGAGACAGCCCAGGTCACACACTGAGCTGTCAGAGACCACAGAGCTTGCCTCCTGCAGGACTGTTCGCTCTGGGGCTCCTAAGGGCCTGTGCTAAGTCCAGGGGCCACTGAAGTGCTTCCACGCTGAGCCCAAACTGACTGCAGCCTCTACCTACTCATGGCTTTCTGGCAAGAAAAAGTGTTTGCTACTCCCTGGACGTGACAAGTCACTCCCTTCTCCATGTCACATCATGCACGTATGTTTATCGCCCCCCACCCCCCAGACTCTGGGGCTAATGAAGGCTCCCCTGTAGTCAGAGGACACCACGAAGCACAGACTGAATAGGGTCTCTCCACAGCAGTGGCAGCTTCCTGACTGTTCCTGGCACCCTAAACTTCCACAAAAAGACATGCTGCCCCACCCTGGCTGTGACAAGGGACTGAGCAGACCCTGGTGGTGTGAAGAGAAACAGCTTTACCTCGATCTGCTGCGGGGCTGAGTTGATCCTCTGTCCAGCTTTATCAGTCACGGTCGCAGTGAGACTGGTCTGGCCAATGCTCACACCGTGGACACGGAAGGTGGCAGTGTAGTTGTCCAGGGCCTCGTCCAGGGCCCTAGAACAAAGGGGAAGGTTGGGACGTCTCCCCCAAAGATAGACAAGTCGGACCTGTCCCCAAGATGCCTCCCTCCTACCCCTGGGAAAACTCACACCAATGTGACGATCTGGGAGGCGGCTCGGAGCTTCAAGTCCATGAAGGCAAAGTATTTGGCCAGGAAAGGCTTCTTGTGGAGGTCCAGCACCCGGACATAGGCCTTGACTGTCTTCCCAATCTCCACCTACAATGTTGGGGACAGAGATGTGGGGCTCTACCACCTGTGGCACCCTAGGCTTTCTGGGGAAAGTACCACCAACCTCAAACCTGGGAGCAAGGATGGCTCAGGTGCGCTGACCACCAGGTGGCTGATGGAGCAACAAAGGAAAATCAGCTCAGTGCTTACTATACACAGGACCAGCAGCCTGAGCTAGTATGTCACATGCCAGCCATACCAATCTGAAGAGAGGTTTAACTTTTCAGTTGAAAATAAGGGAAGAAATTCCCCACCTAACCTTATTCTTAGAGCACTTATTTTAGAAATCCAGTTTCCCTCTTTGAAATGTACATAGTCTCTTTTGCCCCTCTTTGAAATGCATATAAATCCTTTTTGAAGACTATAGAGACTGTTTGCCAGTTTCACGACCCAGAAAGTCTCTCACTGACTGGGCACCTCGGGAGAGATACACTCCCAGTGCCCCCTGAGCGGGGAGGGTAGGAGCCCAGCTTCAGTGGGTACCATTCACCTGCCTGGGAAAATAGCACATGGACAGCAAATGCCTGAAAGCCAGCTTCAGCTGCTTCAGATACCAGAGAATAACGTTACCTATTTATTCTACTATATCTATTACAAATTTTGCAATAGCATTTGGCATTTGTGAGTTTTACTTGCCACTGAGATTTCCAAGAATCCAAACCCTCCACACTATAAATTCTTGTTCAGTGAGGTGTGTGCTGGTTGGTGAGAAAGCCTCAGGAGCTAGGGGACAGAATCCTAAGTCAGGCCCTATTTGGAGACAACTTCAGGTGGGATTTGGAGCTGAGATCACCAACCGGGATGGAGAAGCACAACCTCAGAGGTTGCTCTGCTGCTCTGCATCCTCTGACAGAGGTGAGAACTCTGCCAGCTGAGGCACACAGCAACTGGGGCAGGAGCTGGAGGGATTCACAAACCAGGAGAAAAGGCAAAGGGCTCAAGAAGAATATCTCCCACTATCACCACTTTCCTGGTTTCTGCAAGTCAGTGGAGGGAGCCCTGTGAGGAAGCCGGCACTGACCTTGTCAACCACGCGAACGTACAGCTCCTGGATATCTGAGACGAAAACATTTGCCTTTGCAGGGGCTGGGAAAGCCAGGCACAGGTCATGGATCATGATGGTCGACGTCCCCGGGAGCAGAGGGTGTATCTGCGGGGTTGGAGGTGGGCAGGGTCACGCACCTGTGCAGTCGCCAGTTGGACACCCCCTCCCAGAGATCTCCAGGCCTGTGCCTGTGCTCACAAGTGCCCCTGCCCACCCCCATCATTGAGCCCCCACCACCAGCCAGTGAGTGCTGAGAGACCAGGTATTTCCATGTCATCCATTTCACAAAGAGAAGAACATGGAAGCTGTTCAAAGGGGGGCAGCCAATAGCCAGGGCCACACAGCAACTTGGAGGGGGAGTGAGGATTCAAACCCAGGGTTCCATACCCCTGTGCAGGCTACCACCCAGGCAGCTCCCAGAACAGAGTGTCCTACGGGGTCTCATGTGGAGCCACAAGTTAGGGCTGGCAGAGCATGAGACAGGTGCTTTCCAAAGGGGGGGCCTCGTCACAAGTTCCCACCAGTACTCACAGGCCCAGAGAACCTGGAACACGCTGCAGAGGCCACCTCAGACTTAAGTGTAAGCTCTCTGAGACTCAGTCATCTCCACAACCCCAGCAGAAGCAGAAGCCTCCTAAAAGGTTCTGAGCGGAGGAGCACAGCGGAGCTGCTGTTTCCCAGTCTTTCATCCTCAATCTGCCATCAGTCTCCCTTTCAAACCCTTTTCTCTGTTCCCTTCCAGGGGCCCCACTTTCAGAACATACTCTCCCCACAAACTGTACCACAGTCACTCTCTCGGGTAATGTCTACAGAGGACAGAGTCACCGCTTTTGTCCTACTGTGCAGGTGTGTCATTTCAGGGGGTGATCAGAGAAGCTGGACCAGCAGAGGCTGTCACGGAGCTGGTGGGCGAGCTCAGTGTGGTGGCTCCACCTCTGGCCCTGGCTTAGCTGCCTTACAGTGTTTTGGGAGCCCACGTTTGGTGTTTGCAAAGATAGAATTTCAGTATCAAGACTCAATCAAAAAGCACCAGGCTTGTGACCCTAAGACAGCAACCATCATATCCAGGTGAAAACCTTCAGTGGCTGCCCCCGAAAATGAGTCCCAACCTCTGACATGCCTGAGAGCCCCGCCTACCTGGCACGCCGTGTCACACTGCCCCTCCGCCCACGGCACATGCTCACCCACCTGCCGGGCGCAGGGCCGCGCAGGACACCCTGGAGAGCTGGGGCTCTTCCCGGCTCCACCTGCCAGCTCCAAGTCCTCCTTCAGGCCCAGTTGTGTCTTCCCCCAGGGAAGTCTTCTCTGTTTCTGGAGGAGCTGGGTTCCTTGGCCCCTCTGAACTCAGAATGTTGCTATCCCACCGTGCACCCAATTAGTGTGTCTCAGGTGGATCAAGATCCAAGGTCACAGCTCTGAGTTGCTCCAGTTAATGTAAAGGAATGGTGTTTGGCTTTCCCTTTAGCTTTGCTAAGATTTAGAAATTTAGGTAAAAGCAGCCTGCAAGCCCTATGTCTCCTCATCTATCCGGGAAGCACTGACTCTGGTCCACTCCCATTCAGTATGAGAAACTGAGGCCCATGCAGAATGGGAACACAGCCCTGAAGGGCTACCTGGGCAGAGAACCCAGGAACCAACCTCCCAGTTTAGGGGTCCTTCTACCACACTCTGCCACTTCCCAGAGCTGATGCTTCCAGAAACCAGAGTGGAACTGCTGGCCAAAGGAGGTGCCAGGGGTTGGCAGGAAAAGGCCAGAGCTGAGTCAGGCCCGAGTCCACAGTTAGCTGGCAGCAGGGAGGGCTGGTGCGCTTGGCCAGGCTGCAAGCTCTGCAATCACCAACTCCAGGACACCGTCACGCAGGTGAAGTGCCCGGTGATTGCACACAATGGCTTGGACTGGCCTGAGAGAGCTCCTCGGGTGGGGCTCACACTTGTGCTGTAGAACCTGAGCCATCACCACACCAGCCTGTGCTGAAGGGGCCCTGGTGGTAGGCCCCTGGAGGTGGCAAGTCTCTACTTTTGCTGAGGATGAGTTACCTCCTTTATTACATTCCCCTCAGAAAGGACTCATTTACAACATACAGAGAGAAGTGAGTTTCTTTGAGAACACGGTCAAGGCTCTGAGCGGATCCCCCTGCAAGTTAATGCTGTCGGGGGCTGGCACGCTCGTCATATTGCTAAGAAACCACAGGTACACAGACAGCTGAGGAGCCACACAGGGAGCAAGGAAAAGCTTCTCCTCCCACCCCCCAAAAGGACCACTCTGCACATTTCAAACAAGACATAAAATGGTGACAGGGAAATCAATTCCTCTTCCACTTGATCTCTCGGAGGCTGGATGTCATCACCTTCAGGAGGACAAAAGCGGAGGGCGGCCTCCACCAGGTAACCCAGGCTGCATGGTCCCACCCACCAGTCGCACACACGGCACAGACCACTTCACTCACACGAGGCCTTGGGGGCACTCGCCAGGCTACTCTAAGAAAAAAATGATACTTGACACGAGGGGACCTGCCAGCAGCTGGAGGCAAGGTGGACCTGGCCCCCACAGCAGGTGTGTCTGTCACCCCGCTCTGCATCAGCCACTTTTGGACCCACCTGCTCCTTGACTGACACACAGAATGAATGTCACTAAAGGAGAGGTGGTGGGGGCCACACCTGGAGGAAAGTTTAATCTCTAAGTGTGGAAGGTGCCACCTGAGAATGTTTGTGAGTCCTGAGCCCAGGGGGAGACCTGTCATCTCCCGGGAGACGGTGAATGCATTATTGCTCGTTAAGAGGCTGTATACAGATCCAGAGGCAGCTCTGCTTTCCAGCTGGTTCAAGCCATGACATCCACTCACACCTGCCAGCCCTGAGGTTTTGCTGGCACCATCTCAGCGCCTTGATCCCCCGGGCCCCATCACACTTGTCTCTGGATAGGTGGCATCTGCAGAAGAGCAAAGACCCTACAGATATTTCCGAATGCCACCGACACCATCAGCTCCTGTGCCCTAGAGCGTGCTCATCAATGTCACATGGCAGCCAGGCTGTGCCAGGAGAGAGGGTTAACCCCCAACTAGGTGCCCCCAAGGTCTAGGGGGTTAAGATTACACAAAAATCATAGGCCCTGAGAAGTGCTGGGATGTGGATGAAACTGTATCCAGGGGCCCAGCCAGCCCTGAGACCTCCTGCAGGGCCAGGGCTGGACAGACACCTCTGCCCACTGGTCATTCCCAGCGGAAACAGGACACACCTGAGTTGTGTCCTGCACAACTCATCTCAAGCTACTGCTGCACCCTACCTCATCTCAAGGAGATGCCCTTGCTCATGTGCCACCCTGGAGGGATAGTGTCACCATGAATGGATCCCCCTCACAGGCCGAGGAGGTGAAGAGAAGCAGCCTGGGCTCCTGCCAGCAAAGCCTCCATCTGATTTGCTAAGAGCTGAACCCCAGAGCCCAGATCTGCACCTGGACCTGATCTTTGCCTAGTGAGCACTTGAGCGGTGGGTGAGGGGCCCAGCACACAGAGGTTTCCTCCTCTCTGCTCCTCTCTGCTTCACTGGGTCTGCCTGGAGGACTGATTTTGACATGTAAAGACTTGGTGAGCAGAAAGGAACCCTAAGTTTAAATCAGGCAATCACTACGTGCACTGAAAGATGTAATGACACCTCTGCTGTGCCAGGGGCTGTGAGCAGAACCAAGTGCTGCCCTTGGTGCACCGTGTGGGCAGGATGGCCCAGCGCCAGCCACAGCCCCCGTCTAGATACGTGGGCACGAAACACACCCGCGAGCCACTCACGCATCCCGAACCTGCATCAATAGGAAGGAAAGAAACATTTTCTATGCGCTAATTGAACAACTGTTGTGGGCTTTCTTGTCTCTCTGATTAAGGGAAATGAGAATGCTGCTAATTAGCAGCTGGAAAATGCCAAAGAAATGTGTAAATGTCCTTCAGAAACCACCATGTGAGAGAAGCTGCTAGGACTTATCACAGATTGTCAACGCTCCATGAAAAATTCCTCCTGCAGGTCACGAAGAAGCGAATAGGAAAGAACCTGACTTCCACCTGGAACAGCAAGGCTCTCTGTGGGGGCCCTGGGTGAGGGCAGCAGAGACCCCAGCGGTCAAGGCACGGGTGCAGCAGATCAGGCATGCTCCATACCCATAGGGCAGCCACGTCACCGCAGCCCTCAGGTGTGCTTATCCTTGGAGGGAAGGTCTATTTCTGGCCACTGGTCTGCCCTCAGGGCTTAGTCAAAATGTAGGACCAGAGGGACATGTGGGCCAAAGGCTCCCAAGGGTCGTTGGCACCATACACATTTTTTCTTTTTTTTTTTTAATTTTTTTTTTAATATTTTTTTTTTTAATAGAGGCATGTTTTTATTTATTTATTTGTTTGTTTGTTTGTTTGCTTGTTTGTTTATACAAGCACTGGGTACAGTCAGAAGCGCGGGAGGGTGAGAGAATTCACCAGAGCCAGAGCGGGGAGCAGAGCAGGCAGAAGGACCGAAGTACACTGCTGAGGGGAGCAGCGGGCGGCAGGAGAGGTCTGCGCGCCATGTGGGACCCTCCTCTGGTGGCCGGGGAGCAGCCGGGGATCGAACCGGTGCTGCAGAGGCCGCGGGCAGCCTCACAACCCAGCGCTCAACCGCTGCGCCACCTGGGAGGCCCCCATATACATTTTTTCTTAATCCGAAATGCCCCTATTCTTGATAACTGGGGAGTTGGTTCTGATCTCTAAAGGTAAAGCAAACAGGCTTAAAACTAATTCAGCAGGCGGGACTAGCCACGATTCGAAGTCTTCCTCCTGATGTGAAGGACTTGACAGTGATGACTCATTTACATGGCAGGAGAGGTGGCCAGAGAATTACTCCTCTTTTTGTAAAGGAAATAAACATACTCAGGCATTTCCTATAATCTCAGGCCCTGGCAGCCCTCAAGCCACCTTTCACAACACATGTTCCCAGGTGCTGAGGGGTGGGTTTTCTTTTTTTTTTTCTTTTTTTTATTATTTAAATTTTATTTTTATATTCCCCTTACAATTATAACCCCCTTATTTTGACCCCAAGCCCTCCTTTCCCTGCCCCCACCACCCATAGAGTGTCTCTGGTTCATAGTTGTTTGTTGATTTTGATATTTTCTTTCTTATAGTTATTCTTTTTCCTGGTCCCTTATTTAAGTTTTCTAGATTCCTGCTATGAGCGAGACCATCCGGTATTTTTCTTTCTGGCTTATTTTGCTGAGCACGATCCCTTCCAGCGCCATCCATGTTGCTGCAAATTGCATGTGTTTATCTTTTTTGAATGCTGAGTAATAGTCCATGGTGTATATGTACCACATCTTCTCGATCAAGTCATCTATTTTTGGGCATTTGGGCTGTTTCCAAAGCTTAGCTATTGTAAACAGTGCTGCTATAAACATAGGGGTGCAGGTGCTCTTTGGAATTGATGTTTCTGTGTCCTTTGGGTAAATACCTAAGAGTGGAATTGCTGGATCATATGGAAGCTCTATGTTTAGTAGGTCAAGAAATCTCCGAGGGGTGGGTTTTTCTTGCTCTGATTTATGGTGACAAACCCAAGCGGACCCATCATCCGCCAGTCTGCCCCTGAGAACAGGCCTGTGGAGACACTTCCTTACCCTTCACTCATGGGTGACACTGCAAGAAAGCACCCTCCACACACACAGGCTAAGGACCAAGGTCGACCACTGAGGAATGTAAAAGATGTCCAAAAAAGTGACAAAACCTAAAAAGGTTTGAATTGTCCTAAAAAGACACAGACTACCAACACTGAATCAAAATGAAACAGACAAGCTGACTAGATCTGTACTAGAGGAGAGGCTGAATCAGTAATCAGCGAACTCCCCACGAGAGAGCACATTTCAGAAGGCTTCTTTGATTAAGTCTACCAAACAGTGAAGAGTAATTGTTACCAATTCTGCACAAACACTTCCAAAATTGAGAAGAAGAGGGGATATATCCAAGTCATCCTGTGAGACTGATGTTACCCTGATACCCCATGCCAGGTAGACATCTCCTAAATGAACACTACATCATCTCCTGTGAATACGTACATAAACTTCTCAACAAAACACTAGTCAACTGAATTCAGCTATATATAAGCATAATTAACCAGACAGCATATATCCCAGGACAGTTAGGTTGGTTTAAAATCTGAAGACAATTAATGTAATAAATCAATAGAATAACAAAAAAATCAAGATTGTTTAAAGAGACACAAGAAAAGGGCCTCCCCTGGTGGCGCAGCGGTTGAGTGCTGGGTTGCGAGGCTGCCCGCAGCCTCTGCAGCGCCAGTTCGATCCTGGGCCACTGGCGAGGGTCCCACCAAAAAAAAAAAAAAAAAGAGAGAGACAAAAGAAAAGCATTTAACAAAATCCAATTATCTCTGTGTGTGTGTGTGTGTGTGTGTGTAAGAAAAGGAAGGTGATAGCTAATGTGTCTGGGTATTTTTTTTTTTTTTATATTTAAAGGCCAGGTTTATTAGGGAAAGGATAAAACAGTTAAAGACACTTGCATAGACACAAGTGGGCAGGAAGAGCTGCTAAGAGAGGCCTGCGTGATTGCAGGTGGCCAGCCTTGAGGACAGCGGCCTCCACTGAGGGAGGTCAGTGAAGGGAAGTTCCAGCATGGTACAGGTCACGGGCAGGCAGGAAGGCTGCTGCCCTGCAGAGGAGAGTTTGTGAAAAGAAGCACCTGCATAGTCACAGGTGGGCAGAGGAAGTGCTGCTTGGGTATTCTTTTGAGGTGATAAAAATACTCAAACTGACCAAGATGATAGTTGTACATACCTATTAATACACTAAAATCCATTGAATTGTACTGTTTAAGTGGATGAGTTGTATGGTATATGAATTAAACCTCAATAAAAGTGTTATTAAAATTAACACAAGTCAGCAAGATGTGTATAGTGGCTGTCCCTTAGACATGGCCTGTATTCTCCAGTTTGCCATAGTCCACACCACTTCCTAGAATGCTCCACAATGAGGCTAAGAGGCAGATGCTATTTAGCTTGCACTTCCAGGTATGTTCCACACTTCTTGATTGTTTCCCTCATTTACTTTACCTGTCTCACCCCGTGTCAAGATAGGCAGTGGATTCAAAGTCAGAGGAATGCGCCTGAAGGGGTTGTTAAGACTGAAAAACCCTGTAGAGTGAGGTGACATTCTCCGGGATTTTGGGCTATGCTGCAAACCCAGCGCACAACCGCAGGCAAGGCACCTTACTGTTTCTAGAAAAGGACTCTGAGACTAGGTCTCTGTGAAGGTTAATTCTGACTTCAGACGTTCCTGGAATTAGGGGAGTCTGTTTCACATGGTTGCTAGCCTGCGAGGACTTGCCGGCCACATGAACAAGGCAATGTCAGAGGCCAACACAAGCATCAGGACCGTGGGATGGCTTGTGATCGGGGTGGGGGAGGTGAAGTTGCACCCCCTTGCTGCACCTTCGGGATCCCCACCACACAATGGATCTACCCAGGTCTCTTTCAAATCTGGGACGAGGCTCATCTGGTGCCGGTGCGGCTGTCATTTTACCCTGGACACGTGGTAAGTGCCCTTCACCAAGTAAAAGTGGGTTTTGGGCCCAGCACATCCAAGGCCAATGCACAGCTGCAGTTTAGTGACAGGCTTGGCGTCACTACCTCTGGTTTTGGCTGCCTGTGTTTGCGCCTATGGTAGTGGCTTGACAATCGGGTGAGTTTCCTCTTAAACACAGTTCAGTTTTCATGACTGCATAACAACTCATAACCTTAGAATATTGGGTGTTTTTTTTGTTTTGTTTTTACTCTTTGCTATAACAACAGGGTTATTAAAAAAGATTTAAACAACTTGAATATTCTGCAAGGAGAAAGGGACTAAGTACAAATGACAGCATAAATATAATCAGCCAGCCTACAGGGAGAACTTAGGATAAAATCCCTGAAGAACGTGGAACACTAAACACTTCCATACCATGCACATGGCCAAATTAGTATTTGCCAGACTAGGGAGAGGGTTCAGAAAGGAATGTGGAAAAAACAGAAAAGACTGATATATACTTTAAATGCAATTTTCTTTATGGTTATTATGGTGATGCTTATGTAATAATATTTTACTCTTAATTAAAAATTAAAAGACTGACGGAAAGGAAACCATTAGCTAATAGTGTGGGCAGTTTGTGGATATGGAATAAAACTCACAAAGGTAGCAAGTGAATGATTCAAGTTTCAGTAACAATGAATCAGAGAATCAAAGACCCTTGCAGGTTGCAGCTGATGAGACGAGTGTCAGCTCTGGAAAAATCAAGCAGTGAGCCAAGGGGCCACCTGGAGGAGTAAGTAAAAGGAACAAGGGGACTCACCACGGCGACACCCCTGGCCTCCTGGTAGGTCACCTTCACGACGTCTGCAGAGCTGGAGTTGAGGAAGAAGTAGCCAGAGCCTTCTCTGATGTGCAGCTCTGCCTGTGAGGAGGGGTGGGCTGGCGTCAGAGGCTGGGTCCCTCCCGCACGTGGTCTGGGGGCAGCAAGGAGGCAGGAAGGGCTGTACCTGCACACTCGGGTGGTTGTAGATGGTCACCTCTTCTGGACTCACCCGCACGTCCTCCACCAGGATGAGCTCTATGGAGGCTGACACAGGTGCGAGGGGGTCGTGCTAAAAGGCGAGGCCAGCGTCGTCAGAGTCAGGAGGCAACAGGACCCCATCCCCGCTCTGGGAAGAGCAGGACCCTAGGCCCCAGGTCCTGGCCTCGCCCCAGGGCAGTGGTTCTGTCTGGAACATAAGCCTGCACCCCCAAGCAAACGATCTGTGCTTCTAGCGCAGCCGGCAGGTCACACCCCTTTGAGACATCTCCCCAGCCTGTCAGGGTGACTGCGACCCTCCCACCTGCTGGGCTGGAACACGCAGACCACCCCCGGAGAGCCCTGGAAAGCAGGGGCTCTTGGGGGGCACACAGCAATTGACTAAGGGCCCAAGCGGCCTGGGCATGGGGGTCACTGCAGAGGCAGCATCTGGGCGGCTCCTGGAGGACAAGCGGGGCCCTCACTCCCTCAGCTGTGCTTATTTCAGCAGCCGGTTCCTGCCACCTGTTACTCTAGGTGGCTGCAGAACCCACACGGCTGGGCCCAGCCTGAGTGAGGCCGAGGGGGCAGAGCAACCTGCCCTCAGGGAGATGATATGCCAATGCAAGGATTGAAAAGAAGAATGAATGATAACAGGTGCGGGCTGGTGTGGGCAATGAAAGGGTATGACAGGCGCAGGGGCTCCCAGGAGGACTCTCTGGTGAGAAGGGAAGTGAAGGCATGAGGGCAACAAAGAGAACGACATAGGGCAAAAAGTGGATTGTTCAGGGGCACTTGTCGGGGTGTTCCCACCCAGCGGGGAGGCCCATCAGGCCACCCATGAGCCAGAGGCCTCCTGGTGCTGTGGGAACCAAGGCCCCACCTTCAGGGCCAGGTGCAGGTGTCACTTCCGAGGCCACCTCCCTCAAGGCCAACTCCCTCAGCGCTGCTCCCCACTCCCCAGGTGACAATTCAAGGCCCTCATCTTGGCATTTAGGGCCCCCCACATTCCAGCCCCACCATCCCTTTCCAGCTGTCACCTGCTGTCTCCCTGCTAGTCAAAATCTACACTGGGGTGGGCACATCTGGGCAGGACTCTCCTGGGGATCCCTCTCCCTCCCACCTCAAATATACCCATTTGCCACCCACGAGCATGCCTCTGCCTGGGGTAGTGAGACACCGAGATGGGGGCACGGTCCATGTGTGCAGATGGGGGAGTCCTGTGTACATGTGCGCAGGGGTCTGTGCCCAGCGAGTGGGGCGCTCAAGGGGTTCTGAGCCCTGGAGAAGCAGTTACTCTGTGCTAGGGCCCGGGACCAAGTGCAGAGGAGCTGACCTGGAGGCTGGGACTAAAAGGATGGAGGCCAACCCACAGGAAAAGTAAGGGAGGGAAGGGACGCATTCCATATGGCAGAAACTGTGTACTCAAAGTCATGGCGGCCTGGACCACCTGGTCTGGTCTGGCGGGGTCCGTAAGTCAGGGGGTGGGGCGAGAAGGAGCTGGATGGGCCAGCCCCAGTTGACAATGAGGGTGGCTTCATCTTGGAGACCAAGAAACCCCAAAGGCGTAAACAAGAGCTGAGAGGGTGTAGGACCAGCCTGCCTCCTAGTCCAATGCCTCCAGGCGCCTGAGTGCAGAGCGTGCAGGTGGGGAGACAGTCACAGAGCCCTGCGTGGTGGTCCCCAACTGGGGGGCGAGGTGTGAACAGGGCTCAGGACATGGGGACACAGGACCCTCCCACGCTGGGACCGGAAGGTACCGGCTGTTTCACCCCGGCTGCGCCCAGGTGGGACTGCTGGTAGCTGGTGGCGGTGGCGGAGACAGCGGTGGCTCCTGAGGCCTCATGGACTGAAATGGCCTGCAAACCTGAGTCCAGGAAGAGAGAAGTGCCTGTTAGGTTTCTGCCCCACTGAGGCCCGGGAAGCCCCACCCCCACCAATTTGTACTATTAACTCTAACACAGTCCTAAACAGACTACTGAGTGTGTTCAAACTGCACGGACTTTCCATGCACAGGCGCTGGGGCAGTTTCAAGGGCAGCTTAGAGAGCTGGAGAAGCTCTAGACTTCTGGCTGGGGTAGGACGAGGCAGTAGGCAGCAGAGCTCAGGTCCTGGAGCCAAACTGCCCTGTTGTTTAACTCAGGGTTTGAGGCTTTCCTGCAGCATCTCCCCACCTCTGAAACAGGGGCTCCAGTTCCTACCCTAGTGTTCCCTAAGTTTTAATTCCAATTAAGGGGAGTCCCGGATAACAGCTTCCAACCATATCAGCCTTCCTCAGCACCCCTCTTATCTGCCTGAGGTTTTGTTGCTCTGTCCTCTGCCCTGAAGCAATGGCGTGGCCACCCCAGCTCACCATGCAACTTCTTTTGGCCGCTCCCGTCATCTTGGGACACCAGCTGCATAGGTAGGTCAACTTCAATGCTAGCCAACAGTGGCCTGGTGGACTCCCACTGGATGCTCAGAGAGCTGAAGTTGTCAAATCTGCGGCCCTGCTGGTCATAGGCAGCCAGGTCCAGCAGGGGGTTGCGGTGGCTGGAGACCGGCACCTGAAAAAGTCAAGGCCAGTGCCCAGGTCACACCCAGGATGAAAGACAGTCGCTCCGGACCACACAGTGCACCCCAAACCTGGCCAGCTGCCTTGTGGGCTCATGAGGGGACTGGGGAGGGGATGGGGTAAGGTATGACCTGACCACTGCCACAGCCCAGCTTATCAGCAGGCGTCCTGCATGGGCAGTGCACAGGACAGTCCCAAGAGTCAACAGTGCCAAGACTGGAAGACCCTATCCAACATCTCTCTCCTGCCCCACTCCAGACAGGCTGCTCTCCTTTCTGTCTCACTCGCTCAAATCCAGTTCTCCTCCCCACCCCATGAACACCTCAACCCCTCCAGGATGGCTCCCCCAGTGAGTTAACAGGAATGCCATCTGCAGTCCATAAGATGTCCTGGAGCCATTGAACTTGCTCCTTTTGGAGCCGAGTTCTCACTTGATCATTAAAGATCCCAGTGAGGTGGGAGCTGTCATGCCCCTAGTAAGGGTGGGAAGCAGAGGCCCAGGGGTGTGAGGAGGAACAGATCAGAGGTGATGTGTCAGCTGAGTGGCTCCTCCCTCAACTCCACTGCCTCCTTGCTCCCCTGGCAAGTCTGGCCCTAGACCAGCACCCGCCCAGCCTCACTCCTCCCAGACACTGTTCCCCACTTCCCTCCCTGACTGAATGGCATGGGGACAGACGGAGTAGGTGGCGAAGCAGGGAACCCCAAGCACACAGACACCTGGGTCTCACAGCCTGGACTCAAATCCCAGCTCCACCTCTTACCACCGAAGAGCTGCTGATGTCCCAGAGCTCAAGTGTGAGGTAGGAATCGCGACGGAAACCACTTCCTAAGGCTGTCTTCAGTAAAGGTCAGGGGCGATCATTTTAAAAGCCTGGCTCGTTGTAATTAATGGTCAAGCGGGTACTGGGCCCTTGTTAGTAGTGCTCAGAAATGTGTCCAGGTCTCCACCAGGCACAGGGCCAAGAGGAGGGGCTGGACATCTCTGGCCCTTGCAGCCAGGAGTGATCATGTGACTTGCTCAGGCCAGTGAAATGTGCTAAATCACTTGTGACAACTCTACGAAGAAGCTTTACTGGCCAGAGCAGGACCTGCCGCGCTCACTGGCAGGCATGTGCAGTATGTGCAGATGCGAACCTGTGCTATGGCCAGGGGAAAAGAAGCACGCTGGGATCTGGGGTTGCCTGTTACTACAGCCCAACCTCACAAGTCCTGACTATGCAGCTACCCAACTCCCCATCCCACCAGGAAGGATCCTCCCCAAGTCCTTCCAGGTCTCCTGTCTCTACAGAACACTGGACCAAAGCATCTTAGGAATTCTAAATACAGGTCAGCACGATTCCTGGAGATGCAAAGGATTTATTCTGGACACGAGTCTGGCAGCTGTGACTGGTCGGGGACAAGAATAAGCACATTCTGGATGCCGCACTTCTGCCCCCAGATGCAACCACCCCCAGGTAGAAAACTAACATTCCTTCTTTCTCCCTTCTCCTCCAGGGAAAGATGTTAACCCAGTGTGCCAAAGCATGCTCAAGTCTACTGGATCTTTCCAATGACCATCTGAGGCAAAAACATTATCCCCCTCATTATAAAATAAGACTCAGAGACACTAAGCAACTAACCCAAGGTCACACAGTTTTAGGGGTGGACATGTCCATGAGGCACGGGGCCAGCAGCGAGGCTAGTACATCTTGGCCCTTGGGCTTCCTCTAACACCGGGTAGCCTTCTCCCCTGTGCATGAGCTGGGCAGCGGCTCCGAGCACCAGCTAATCAGTCTCCTGGCAAACCACCAGCACTTGAGCACAGTTGCTGAATGCTGGATGATCTGCTCAAGGACCCGGGCAGGCTAGAGAGTGGTTCCACTTTGTCAAGCCCAACTTGTCAGCTCTGTTCTGGCGTCTGGTCTTGCTAATAATGGACTCTGCAAATGCTTCCTGGGCAGCCTCTGCATTTTGGAGAGGTGTACAATTAAATTTATTCTGCACCCAGGATGCATCGCCAGGATCTGCCTTTCTCAAGGTCCCCTAATGAGATCATAAATCGCAGGAGCCATGCCTGAATGGCTCACAGCTCCGGGACCCCAGAACTGATGGATCGCATAGCAGTTCCATGTTTGAAGTCATTACCTCCTGGCAAGGGAGATCTACAACATACCCAAGCCAGGTCAGAGCCATGCTCCACTGCCTGCCCACCATCCTGCAGTCCAGATGGAAGCGCTGGGCTGCCCCAGAAGCAACAGGAGAGAGAGGGCCAGATACAGCTCGCTCGGCAAGTGCCCACCATGTAAGGACAGGCAAGATGCATGCAGAGCTGCTGGGTTTGCCCAGCCTGGACACGAACTGGCTGCAGGGAGGCAGGCGGGCTGTGCTTCTGAGGGGTGCCTGCTCTCCAGGTTTGCACTATCTCCGAGACCCTCTCCCCTCTTCAGCAGCACCCCAGCTTGGCTTCTCCAGGCATTTGAGCCTGTGAGAGTCAGGGCAGAAGACCACAGGGCCACAGACACAGCGTGCTCACTCGCACACTCGCTCATCCACCACATAGTCTGAGTTCCTGCCACAAGCACAGCGCTGTTCGAGACACGGAAAAAAGAAAATCAATTCCCGAATTCTGCATCTGCAGTGTTAGATGACAAGTTCTTTGGGGGATGGGGGAGAAGGGAAATGGAATGTAAAATGCTGAGGGAGAGACTTCAGAGGTGGTCTAAAGGCTGGGGAAGGCAGGGTGAGCTCACGCCCAAGGGAAGGGCCAGCCCGAGACATGGGCACCACTGGGCAGGGGAGGAACGTGTGGGTGGAGGCCCTCGGGCCTGTGGGGTAGAGGGGCTCTGGCTTGTACTCTGGGTGAAAGTCCAGCCACCACCTGGTTTAAGCAGAGAATAACACTGACCAAACAAGTAATAGTCACCACTGGGAATGCCCTCTGCCCAGCCCCATCACCCCCTGCAGCCACCCCGAGAGGCCCCAGCACCATCAGCACCTTCCAGGGTAGAGGGGCACGCACAAGGCTGGGATTCAGGCCTTGGCTGCCAGCCCCAAGCGCTGGGCCTGCCATCAGAGGAGGTTCCCTGCCTCACACACGGAGACCCAGGAGGTGAGGTTTTCCAGAGTATACACTCAGTATTTTATTCGTTCCACAGGGAAAACCGGCTAAACCCATAAAAGTGATTTAAAACATGAAACTCTCAGGACACTTGTCTCAGTAGCCCTGTGTGAGCAAATGGCTATTTGGAGCAGCTGCCCATAGGTGTGCCTCCCCAGGGGCTCCAGGCCGGGGTGCCTCACCTGTGGAAGGAACACTTGGGGATTCTTCCCTGGCCCCTACAGGACAGGTAGGAGAACTCTCCGTGGCAGAGCACAAAGAATCCTGATTTTAGCAGATGCTGTGGAGGCGCCAACCCTACAGGGACCCGTGTCTCAGAGCTGAGGGAACAACAAAGCTGAGCACAGAAGTCCACCACCCACCCTCAGAGCCGTGGGAAGCAAAGCTGACCACACCCCTGGGGACGAGAGGCCAGCCACACACCCCACAGAGGGCCTGTTCCCGAATCCCAGACACTGCAGTCTGGCACCTCCCCTGAAGCTCCAGAGAGAGATATTCCCAGCCCTCCACCTCCAGTGAGGAGCCAGTTTCCATCTCCAGCTGCCCCAGTGGGAGAGGCTGTGACACAAACAGCTTAGGAGAGGCTCCCTTCGGGGCACTGAGGACATGCACTGAGCACGCCTGGCGTGAGCTGGGAAGAGGTGCAGAGGCTCTGCTCCGGAGGTGGCCCCAGGAGACATAGACCCCCGAGAGAGAGAATAGCTGGGTGTACCTGGGGTTGGCTGCAGGGCTTACTTGGGTTGGGAGAAGGGAAACAGCTGCACCAAGGAGGCCTTGAACTTAGGGCTAGCTAAACCTAGGTTCTCCCTCTGGGACCCTGCCCACCTCCATGCCACATGGACAAGACTGGGTGAAGACAGGATAATCCTGGGGACTGGGAACAAGTGAGAGGTGAGTTTCTAGCACCACTCACTATTCTGATGACTGCAAGCGCAGCAGGACTCAGAGAGCCTGTCCTGGCCTCAGGGCCTTGCACTTGCTTTTCTACCTGGGGCACCTTTACCTCAACTCTTCTGGCCCATCATCTCCTGACCGCGGAGAGCTTAGACTGGTCTATGCACCCCTGAGAGACCTTTCCTGCTCCCTCTGAAGTGGCCTCTGGTGCCACCCTCTACCCTGGATTTCACTTCCTTTAAGGCACTTCCCACTTTCTGATCCTTCTTGCCCATCTGTGTGCTGCCTGGTTTCCCCGTCAGCCCTGCCCTGCCCTGCCTACTCTGTATTCCAGAACCTAGGAACAAGCCTAGCGGAGGTAGGGCTCACAATTACAGGCTGAGCCAATGAAAGGGGGCTAAGAAGGGGCTGGGGGCCAGGGCTGCTGGAAGGTTCTCTCCCCCTTGATCATCTGAGCGGCAAGGGGCTGGGCTTTCTGCTGCAGACTGTGGGTGCCAATTTACATCCATGCATGCAGAGTGACCCCAAGTGACCGTCTTCCCAACCCCACATTTATGTTTGAATCACAGCCCACCTGCCCCCGAAATGGGTGGAAGGCGCTGGTCACCCACCGTGTCTCAGCAGACCCTGCTGACCACACACACACACTGCCCAGTCAACAGCCCCCACCTGAACGTCCGCATCACAGAAGAAAGTGACGAGCTTCATACAAACTGCCAGGTGTCAGCAGAGTGGGCGCTGAGCCCGGCAGGAGGGGAGAGGCACCACGCCATCCTGAGCTGCCACGAGCAGCTATGCCCCGAGAGGCCTCACCTCGCCAGGTGGGCTCCACGGGTGACACATGGCAAAACGTACCCCCTAAGCAACGCGGGCCCAAGTGCCACTCACCACCTGCTTGTTCTGCTGCAGCAGCGGGCAGGATAGGTCCAGCTGTGGGCTGGCGTAGACAGGCGTGAGGGTGAGCCTGGAGGGTGGCGCACACACCAACTTCACCACCGAGGGCTCCAGCACAGGAAAGGGGTTGGTGACACTGGGCCTGTTCCCCACTGAGAGGGCGATGACCTGGGGAGCAAGGGGAGCCATCAGACACCCTGAGTCGGAGACCCTGCTCTCTGGCGAGCCCCTTGTTACTCTCCTAAGCTTTCTGGATTCCTGCTGGCCTCCCACCTTATCTTTGGCTCCCTACTTTTGGGCCCCTGGGAATGAGGGTACCTCCTTATGATAAGGAAAACTAGTGCCCAGTCCTGAGCCTTGGGAATGCTGGCACAGGGCACCTGAAAGGCAAGCTGCCGCCCCAGCCAGCGGGCTCCAGCCCCACGGGAAGCCAGGCTCATACCTGTTCTGCTAGGTATACCTGGTCTCCTAGGTTTTTTGGCTTTTAGCATTTAAAAAAAAAAAAACAAAAACAGATTTCTTAAAAAACAACCAAAACAGCTGGGATTCCCAATTTATCTCTAAACACAAAAGTTATGCCAACTGTCTGTGATCTCACGTGCTTACCTCCCTCACTCTGGAGGTAGCGTCACGTGGTGACATCTGACCTTGGGGGTCAGACTGGGAGTGGGGAGTGCTGAAGCCTAGAGAGGAGGTCCCGGGGGACTGGAAAGGGAGTGGGGACAAGCTGGCTCCACCAGAGCAATGGGGCGAAGGGGTGGGGGAACGGGGACGTGCGTGCTGCACCTGCCTCCACCTGGTGTTCACTCAGGCCCATGCACCTCATGGAGCCTCAGTTCCTCCATCTGTAGGGTGGGGACAAGAGCAGCAGCTATCTCTCAGGGTCATTCTGAAGGCTGGGTAAGTGAAGCCATGAGACACAGCAGGGTAAACTGGGGAACGTGACCTTCCTCCCCAGCCCTGGAGGGTGCGTCTAGGATAGTACTCACCTGCTCGCCCAAAACCTGACAGGTTGCAAGGATCCAGTGTTGCTGGTAATTTCGGGAAGCAGGGGGACCAAAGAGAGCCAGACCGATACTGTCCATGTCCTCAGAGGTAACGTTCCGGAAGAATTTGGAAGGCTCGAGGACCCAGGGTCTGGGACCGCCTTCAAACAGCATTTCCTTTGATGAGCCCAGGGTCACCAAGGCAACAGAGGAGGGGTCTACAGCCTGTGAGAGAGGAAGATGCGGGCTCAGGATCCTCTGAAGGCTGGGTCCTCGCCCGTGGCTGACTGGCCCCCACAAAGGTCAGGAAGCCCGGCTCCTCTCTGGAACGCGGTGTGTGCATCAGGGACTCTCACAGGGTTGTCACCAAGATCTGATGGCGTGGCTAACGAGACCACGGGGAGGTATCCCCTCATGCCCCCCAGAATTGTTGTCATCAAAAGGACAAGAGGAAACTGTGTTGGCAGGAGGGGCACCATGGGTGAGAATGTGACCTGGCACAGCACAGGGCGGCTCCTCCACAAATGAAAAATAAAGCTACCACATGATCCAGCAATTCCACTCTGGGAATTATATTCAAAGGCAACAAAAACACTAATTTGAAGAGATACTGGCACCTCCATGTTCACATCAGTGCTTTTGTTTTTGTTTGTTTACAATAGCTAAATCACAGAAACCACCTAAGTGTCTGTCAACAAATGAAGTGACAAGCGAATTATGTAGCCACACAACGGAATATTATTCAGTCACAAAAAATAAACTAGAAAACCCTCCAATTTCTGACAATATGAATGGAACTTGAGAGTGTTGCAATAAGTGACTCAAGCCAAACAGTGAAAGATAAATACAGTGTCACCTCAATTATATGTGGAATCTAAAAGAATTTAAAATTATAAAAAACAAGTTCATTGGTACGAGTGGTGAGGGTGGGAGAAATGGGGGGAAAGAGTTAAAAGGTACAAACTTTCAGTTATGAAAGCAGTCAGTCCTGGGATGTTGCAAACAGAACAGTGACTATAGTTAACGACACTACAGTACGTATTTGAAAGTTGCTAGGAGGGTAGATCGCAGAAGTTCTCACCATAAGGAAAACTGCTTATAGAGGTTAACTGAACTCACTGTGGATCACTCTGCAGTGTAAACATATATTGAATCGTGTTGTACGCCCGACACCAGCGTTAATATGTCAATCATATCTCGAAGGGGAAAGAAAGGCCAAGAACCCTTGGTTGTTGCCTGCTCTGACAGCCTTATACTCAGGCTGGGGGTTCAGAGATGAGATTCTGACACCACCGAGCACCTTACAGCGGGAGACAGGGAGAAGAAAACATGTCGTCGGAGACCACAGCGGTCCTAGAAGTCAGCACTGACTAGCCCAGCCCCAGACCTTCCATGAAGGGGTGGGAACTGCCCACTGACCTGTCTTCTCCAGGCCTCCCCCATGAAGCAGGGTCAGTGACAGTCACATTTACCTCCTGCTGCGTGGCAGCCACTCATGTGATGCTTCCCAAGCACCTTGAAGGCAGGCCCAGGTCTTTCTCGCTCACACTGTAATCACCAATGCTTATGAGCAGGTGCTGTGTCTTGGGCCAAATGAGCAATTCGCATCAGGAAGAGGGTGGACGGCAGGGCGTCCAGGCTCACCTTGAGCGGCAGGTAGGCAGCAATGGTGATCCGGGCGCTCAGGTGGATGTGGCCATGTTTGTAGCTCACGAGGAGTGCAGTGTAGCCCTGGGCCTCTGCTCGTACCGTGACTCCACTGCAGTGCTCCGATCCCGGCGGCAGCCTCCCTGCAAGCGGAGGAGAACCAAACCGACACTGTGAGTTTGCTCTGCTGGGAAGGACGTGAGAGGCCAACAGCCCCGCCTTTCCTTCTGGGCCTGATATGCACTGAACTTTTTTAGCAAAAAATTCAAGTATAATTCCCATACCAAAAGTATGCTTATCAGAATATAATTCACAATGATTTTCCACCCCCCTGAACGGAACTCACCCTGAATCCAGGACAAGCAGCAAGAAACAACATGAACTGTACCCCCGAGTCTCCCGATGACACTCCAGGCCCATCACCAGGCCTTCCCCAGAGGACATCAATGGTGGTTCACTTCTAACAACACAGCAGTTTTGCTGGCTTCTGTATTTTCTATAACAAAAGCAACCACTGTGGATGAACCCCTTTGGGTTTGCCCCCTGCAGCTCAGTACTGGGGGCGAGACCCCTCATTTCTTGCATGTGGTGGAGTTTGTTTTATCCAAACTGTTAAGCTAGAGATAGTACCCAACACCACGGGTTCAGGGCTCAGGCCTACAAGACTGCCCCCCACTTTAGACACAGTGGCTTCTGACTAGCCAGCAAGACCAGTACCCCTTCTTCAGAAGTAGCTGCAGGTCCAGCTTTCGCCTGCACTGACTTGGCTATAAACCAGAGGTTCCCACAATCCCCCTCCCACCCCCGGCTCAGGTCCAGTTAGGCAGAGGATCACAAAAGTCAGAGAAACCATTTACTTACTAGATCACTGGTTTATTATAAAAGGACATAATTTGGGAACAGTCAATGGGGGAGCTGTGGAGGGCGAGATGCCCGGGCAAGGGTGGGCAAGCCGAGTGCTACTGCCCCAGCACCTCTACATGTTAACCAGAAGCCCCTGCTCGGGTTCCAGGGGACCTCACTACAGAGACAATGGTGACTGACTCGTGGCCCTCCCGCTCCGCAGTCAGGGTGGGACTAGAACTAAAACTTCCCAACACTCTACGCAGGGTTGGTTCTCCTGGCACCCTGCCCCCACCCTCAGGTGGAGTGCACCTCATGAACCTGACACCAGGCACCTCTATCACAGTCAACACCTGAATCACCACACACATTTTTCTTACAAATCACAATATTGCAATTGACCTCCTAGTCTTGGAACACAGATTTCTTAAAGTAAAATCACAATTCACAACAATGGCACATTATCCGAATCTCAGTCCACCCTTCCTGACTGTCCAGCCCAACATCAGCTGCAAACGTCTCCGGCACGAGGACAGGCAAGGTTGCGGGCGTGTGGCCTTGGCAATGCACGCAAGGCTTCTCCCTTCCGGCGTTACAGAGCTGAGGCGGTGCCGTGTCTTGCTCTGAATCTCTTCTGAGATCTTAATGCAGTAGCGCAGTCCCCTCGTTATATCAGCCATTATTCACTCCTTACCCACGGCTGCCATTTCCCCTTCTCTCCACACGTGGCAAAGCTTCTCCACCTTGGGGAGGGGCGAGGTCCAGCCACCGTGCTGGTGGGTATGGCAGGCAGCTACCCGGGTCTGGCAGGTGCTTCCGCAGAGGAGGCAAGGTCCACAGGGCACAGGGCCGGGGAGCCATGCTCCCCACCAGGCAGGAGAGCTGCTTCCACTGAGAGCCCCCATTTTGCCAGATGGCAGGAAGGCACACCCTGGCCCTCAAGCCCTTAGAGATTCCGACATAAAAGGTTAAAAAGTTACAGTTCTGCTTAGGAACCAGCCCCACTTGCAGTCCTTGCAGACAATGCACCAGTCGTATGGACCCTTCTTTCAAGCAGGCTGAAGGGTGATGTGGGGAAGAAATAACAATACCTCCCCTCCTCCCCCAAGAACAGACAAATCTATGCATTGGGACATTCCTTAAGCCCCACTCACGTTCACGCTGAGTGTGAGCACACACTCATAAAGGCATGTAAGTCAACCCTTCACGCATTTCTCCCTTTGTTAGACAAGCCACGTTTTCACTTGGGGAAGTCTGCCCTCCCTCCACAGGGAGTCGGCCCACTGCGGGGCACTGAGGCTGCACACTGCACTCTGATCTGCACCACACGCAGCTGTGCAAACCGCCAAGCACCTTCTCGCTGGTTCTTCTACAGCACCCCAGAACTTGCATCCACCATCAGAAACACAAAGCCTGGTCCTGTCAGGACCCAGGGGCAGCCCCCCAGGCTGCCAGCCTCAGCCTGACTTGCCAGCTGTGATCAGGATGTGCCCCAGGGCACAGAGTCATCTGTGCTGTCTCTCTTATGGCTTTTACTGGTATTTTGTGCCCCAAAGGGTACGAGGAGTATGTCCAGGCTGAGTCCACTTCTGCACCGCGCCGGTGCCCTCCTGTCCACGCACATCATGGACACAGGTGGCCACTTCAGGGAACACGTGGGCCAGCTACTTGATTCCAGTCACCTTCCAAACCAGGAGTGGGGTTCCTGTCCTGCTCGAGTGTCAGACTCTCAGGTCTCCACAGGGCTATGCTCCGTGTGGGTATCTCTAGTAGGTCAGGTTTCCATCACCTTCCTGGCTGACCCCGTGGTCAGGCTAATGGCCACTATCCATGAGCCAGTAAAAACCCAAACGTAGGGGTATTTTACCACTTTTTCATCACTGCCAGAAAACAGCATGCAATTCAGCCCACTGAGCTGACTTGTTTTCACCTTCTTCCACCAGTTTGTCCACCCACTGGTCTTTATGCAGCAGCTTTCCAAACAGGGCGTCATCCATCCCCCTTGGATGGCTGTCCATACACCGAACAGCTCTGTCGGCCAGTTGAGAACTCTTTGGAGAGCACGGTCAAGGCACAGTCCAGTCCAACGTCCCCCCAGGCAGGTCCAGAGTCGGTCCGAGGGGAGAGCATCCTCTTGCCTCTCCTGGGTCTCCTCCTCACCCTCGCAGGCAGCATAAATCCATGGGACTCTTCTGGGCACTGCTCTCCCCACTGCAGATTTCCCTGACACCATCCTAGACACAGCTGTCTCCGATTCTAAGGTCATTTCATGGCTTTCAGTCATCAGGGCAGCTTCGACACGTGTCAGGTGGCAAGGCAGTAAATACCCCTCGGAGGGCAATGCTCTGGTCCAAACTTGCAGCTGTCATCGCTGGGAGGCGCGCACAAGCTCGTGCCATGAGCAGGGGCAGGCTCCCTGTGGGGTTATGGCACCAAGACTGTCCTCCTGCCCCGCCCCCACCCCCCGGGCTCTGCAGGGAAGGCGCTCGGCAGCCTGGCTGCCCACATCTAGCGTGTCTCATGAGCGCTACGTGAAAGGCGGATTTACATGACTTCTCTTGTACAACACTGGGCGGGGGGCGCTGCCCAGTGAGATATAAGACCCATCCGCATAATACAATCAGGTCAAACAGACACAAAATTTCACATTAAGGCTGTTCAAACACGTACATTCTATAATGTTTACCTTAACTGCTTCAGCCCTTCTAGTCATGAGCGTAGTCTCCACATCGACAGCGTTTAGTCTGACCAGAGGAGGGAGGGAAAACAGCCATTGCCAAGAAATGTTCAGGTACCTACTTAAACCTGATTTTCATCAGCCTATTGATTTTACCTTTTTAAAATGTAAATAAATAAGTTAGGGCTTCACCAATGGATTTGGGTGCCTTCTCTCCACCCCATCACCATTTGACTCATTTCTGTGCGAAGGGCTCTGGGAACCCAGCGAGGAGGCGTGCAGCACCCCCGCCCCTCAGTCAATCTTGAACTCAACCCACCTGGCCACTGCTCCAAGTGGGTGCTGGTCGCGTTTCTCAGCATCATCTCCACCTTCTAGATTTTTAAATTTCTCCAAACAGGGTAAGTAGAACAAATGTGGGGCCTTTGTGCCTGTCCAACCTTAGGCAATGCCACCTCAAAAACTGTTTTAATCCCAGTGCCCTTTTGATTCATCCCATTTCCTATGAGCCGTTGAAACATTCCCACCCTCTTCCAAAATGCTCCCCTTTGAGAATTTCTCAGCTTACTAATCCTCCAGAAAATCCCCCCTTGTCAGGAAGAGTCTTTGACTGTTCCCTTGGCCTCTCCCCATTCTCCTGTTTTTATTGGCATTGGTAACCCCAAGAAGAGAAGCTGACACAGCATATTCCAGAAGGGCTTCCAGAAAGGATGTTTTGTAACAACAAGGTTACACGGAGTACCCATGTGAAAGGGGCCCCAGGATCCAAACATTTACCATGACCCAGGAAAGGGTGTATTTGAGGGGGCTGGTGGGCATCCTAGTCATCAAAGCCAATCCCACACGCTTGCAAGCGAACAGCACAGCTGCTTCATCTGGAGGGACCACTGGCGTTAATGAGGTGACCTACGGTCCTCCCTCGGGCTCAACAGACCTCACGATGGCTTTAGTCCAGGCACCAGGTGTCGGGCCCCTCGGGATCACGTGCTGCTGTGGTCGTTCCCCAGGGAGCTGTGGATCCGGAATGAAGCCGCTCTTGTACTCCTCCCCTCTGCAGCATTCAGAGTTGGAAACGCAGCTCCCAAGAGTCCCTCTTCCATCCACCTCAGTACAGGTTCCCCGGGAACACGGATGTGCCTCACCACAGGATGAAGCAACTTCACACAACCCCTTCTGGTTCCAGTCACATCTCGGTTCCCCCACCATGCCATCTGCCTGCTGCCCAGGTCCTAGAGGTCTGTTGTCCCTGCGCGGCTCCCTCTTAGAGGCAGCTGAGGCCAGTGGCTCAAGCTCAGGACCAGAGTTTGGTCTGGCATCAAGGTCTGACGCAGCATGCTTCTACATTTAGCTCAGCTATGGTAGATAACAATAATCACGGCACAGAATATTTGCCTTTTTTCTTATAGTCTGCATTTCCTCACATATCCAGGGAACCAAACCTCCGGAAGCTGGATCTATTTTGTAACTTCCACTCTTGAGTTTCACCTTTAGTAACTGAGTTCAGCACAGCCGCCGCCCCACACCGTGAACGCCCACATCGGAAGCAAAGGCCCCTCACCCCTGCCCGCCCCTTCCTCCCCAAACCATGTTTCTGTGATCAAGGTGATGCTAGCAAATGCTATT